AAGCCATCATTTTACCTGTTCCTCCTCAGCCCCTTCATGGAGCTCTGTTTTGCCACCCCCTTCATTCCCATGTTCTTGAACGATGCAAATGTAATTGTTCACCACCCTGCACCACCCCATAATAAAATGTTCCTCAGCCTTCCCTTTTGCACAGCATTGTCACATGGATTCTCTTAATTTGGCTCCACCAGATCTCAAACCTTTCTGTGTTTTGGCCAATCACATTATTTTTGTCCTTCCTCCAAAGAATCTATAGTAAAAACTAACATTTCTCTCAGGTTTCTCCACTTCCTACTAGCAGCAGGAAAAAAGTGCTTTCTGTATTATCTCCTCCCAAGACAGCTTCGGCCATGTGTGTGCCTTCTCAAATAATTTCTACTGCTGTATTTCTTTCTTCTCCCTAAATATCTCAGGTCTAAACATTGCTAAAACACCACATCCAATTTTCAAACTGTCCACTCAGGCAGGGCACTGATAAATTAGAGGGGTTTGTTTTGGGTTTTTTACAAACCACAGGAATATTTAAAGGCTTAGGAAAGTTGTAATAATGAGACTTTGAGTTCACTGTATGTGTATCACATGGAAAGTATGGCAAGATATATGTGTGTTCTGAGAGGCTCTCACTTACTTAATCCTCAGCTGGCACTAACTGCAGTGGCAAGAAGCTCACGGCACAGAAAGGCAGGGATCTCTGTCAGCAAATCTCTTCTTTGGTAATGGCAGGTGCTGTTGGAACACCTAGTGAGGAGAGAATATCACTGAGTCACTGGGAGAGGCCTCATTACCCCCGAGAAGCAGCAAAAGAGGAAAATCACTGTAATAGTTTCATTTCTGCGTAGCGTGAGCAGTGCTGTGGGCAGCTTCTGCTTCTGTCCCCAAATACACCGAGTTCGCTTCAGTATCAATAAACAAAGGGCAGAGCAATACTCAGGCTTTAAGGAATGGTTCCATCAAGCCCAGATTCCAGTGGGGAAATACGGGAGTGACGTAAAGGAGCCTCGTAAGATAAATTGTCAAAGTGGGATAAAATCCAGAGGTGTAAGTCCTACTGTTTACGGGGGGCGGGGGAAGGGGGTGGGTGTAGAAATGCTTTAACAACAACTTATCAACATTTTTTTTTGCAATAAACGATAGAAAATCCTTCATCACAAGTTACTTCCAAGCCAGGATAATCTTCAACCAAACAAGAATTTCCATTTTGCACAAGAAAGCAGCCCAGACCTGCACAGTGTTTTCTTTTTCTGCTCTATTTACTAGGTTAACTAAGGAAGTCGATTGTCTTAATTTCCACTAACTGAGGGTGCAATCATTCCACTCAAGGGCAGGGCTGCTGTTCAGAGGGACCTGGACAAGCCAAAGGGATGGGGCTGACAGGAATCTCATTGAAGTCAAGGGAAAACACAGAATTATGTGTCTGGGATGAGGTAGACAATGCATTGGGACAGATGGGCTGCCTGCCCAGGGCAGAGCAGTGACAGCATGAGGAGCAGTGGCCATAAATTAAAACACAACAAGTTTCACCTCAATGTGAGGAAGAACTTTACGTTGAGGGTGGTAGAGCACTGGAACAACTGCCCAGGCAGGGCTTGGAGTCTCCCTCTCTGGAGACATTCCAAACCCACCTGGGCAAGCTCCTGTGTCACCTGCTCCAGGTGACCCTGCCTTGGACTGGATGATCTCCAGAGGTCCCTTCCAACTCGAACTCTTCCGGGATACCGGAATTCCATGACAATCCCTCGTGGCCCTAGGGAACACTTGATTTTCCGTGATCCCACAGCACACCCCGACAGCACTGGTGCCTCACAGCCTTTTTTAACCAGCTCTCACTGCACGGCACCATGAACAGGCCTCCTCCTCATGGACGCCCCAATACGAGAGGGAGAATCTCAAAACCTGACCGAGCGACCTGGAAACCACCGCAACGCTGGGGCCGGAGCGCTCTGCCCGGTGGCCGTGCTTGGAGCGGGAGATCGGGGTTGAAGCCTTCTCGGGGTCTGTGGCACCGGGCGCTTCGCCCGTGAGGGGAGAGCGGTTTCGCCCGTGAGGGGAAGGTGCGATTCGCCCGTTACGGGAGAGCGGCTTCGCCCGTGAGGGTAAAGGGGCGATTCACCCGTGAGGGGAGAGCGGCTTCGCCCGTGAGGGGCGCTTCTCCCGTGAGGGTATGGGGCGATTCGCTCGTGAGGGTATGGGGCGATTCACCCGTGATGGGCAGTTTTCGCCCGCGAGAGGAAGGGGCTCTTCGATCGTGAGGAGAGAGCAGCTTCGACAGTGAGGGGCAGAAGTCTTCGCCCGTGAAGGGCAAGAGTTTTCGCCCGCGAGGGGAAGGGGCTCTTCAACCGTGAGGGGAAGGGACGCTTCTCCCGTGAGGGGACAGCGGCTTCTCGCGTGAGGGTAAGGGAAACCTTTCGCCCCATCGCAGACCGGCTTTTCCCGTGAGGGGAGGGCGGTCCCCGGGCGGAGCCGCCCTGGAGGAGCCGCCCCTGCCCCGCGCAGGCGCCGCCCCCGCGTGCACTTCCTGAGGGCGGGCGGACCCAACATGGCGCTGGGTCAGTGGGGCCGGGGCTGGCGGCTGCTCCGCGCCCTGCTCCTCGCGGCGCTGCTGGGTCCCGCCGCCGCCTCCGCCTTCTCTTCTTACCCCTCCTCCAGCCCCGGCGAGCCGCGGAGCCCCGTGCGAGTGCTGTGCGGCTCCAACTGGAGCCTGGTGTTGCAGGGCCAGTGGATGCTGGAGTTGTGAGTAGCGGCCGCTTTCCCGCCCGCCTCGGAGGCAGCGTGTGCCGGGGGGGCGAGGGGGGCTCCCCGTGAGGGGCTCCCGCTGCAGGGCGGGTGCGGCCCGTGCCTCCTGCCCCGCTGTGGGGAGGACGAGGCCGGACACTGCCGGCCTTCCCGTGCTATGGTGGTGCCGCGCAGCTCCCCCGGCCGGGCACGGCGTGAGGGAGGCGGCGGGCAGTGCCCGCGGTCCCCCCTGCCCGCCCCGAGCCTGCGGGCACTCGCTGCCCTCGGCTGGGGTGACCTGAGAGAAGTAGCTGCCCCTCAGGCTTTCCTCCTGTGCGGGCACAGAGTGGCCGAGGTTATACGGGTCTTTGCTTTCAGGGGAATGAAGGACATTGAATGAAGGACACGGACTTGATGGAGTGTGTCCAGAGGAGGCCACCAAATTTATCAGAGGGACGGAGCACCTCTCCCGTGGGGAGAGGCTGAGAGAGCTGGGCTTGTTCTGCCTGGGAAAGAGAAGGTTTTGGGGTTACCTCATTGCAGCCTTCCAGTACCTGAAAGGAACTGCGAGGGAAGATGGGGCAAGACTGTACAAGGGCTTGTGGTGACAGGACAAGGAGGAATGGCTCCAAACTGAGAGTATGCTCAGATTAGATATTAGGAAAATATACTGTGGGGGTGTTGAGGCCCTGACACAGGTTGCCCTGGGAAGTTGTGGCCTTCCCATCCCTGGGAGTGTCCAAGGCCAGTTTGGATGGGGCTCTGAGCAACCTGGCCTGGTGGGAGGTGTCCCTGCCCATGGCAGGGGGTTGGAATTGGATGATCTTCAGGGCCCTTTCCCAAACCAAACCATTCTGTGATTCTGTGAAGCAGCTGGCCCTCAGGTTCTTGTCCAAGTACCCAAGGTTAAAGGGGATCATTCCACCCAGCTCCCTGCGGGGGAATAATGAATTATGTCAGGTACTGCTTCTTGCTCTGCTTCCCCAATGGGGGGCTGTAGCTGGGTTCTGTGGGAGCTCTAGGAAGGGATTCCATAGGGAATACTTAGCAGGAGCAGGCTTCCAAAGCAGCATTACATAATATACCAGCACACCCTCGCCTTGAGCTCTGGAGTTCTCCTTCACGGGAGATCCATCAGGTTTCATTAACTTGGCCGTGCTGCTGTTCTCAGTCCTGCTGACAGCAAGAGACGTTTGTCTGTTTGGAGTTTTAAGACATGACACAGTTCTTGAAGTTCACACGGTGTTTCGTTCTTGGAGCCTCGCTCACCTGCTTGCATTTAGGAGGGAAAGGAGCTTGAGGGTTTTTTTTAAGAGAGCAATGAATAAAAAAGTAGTTTAGGTAGGCAGTAGGCTCACGTGGTGCCTGTGGGCTGTGCAGCTCTGAAATAGGATTTTATTGTGGCGTGTGTGCTGCTTGGTGGAGGTGCTTAAGCTTGAAACGGGTTGGACATCTGAACCCGTGCTCCAGCACAAATACCTACTCAGCTGCTTCAAGCTTTACTGTTGAGTTTGAGGTATCTCCAGATATCTCTTATTAGTCTCTGATTAGGGGGAGGGACTATCACTTCCCTCAGTATCCCACTGGGCACCTGGTGTTAATCAATGACTAGATGGGAACAATCCTGAAGTAGCTGGTTGAGAGACCCAGGGGTGCCCACTGCCGTGCCTAAGGATTTGGATTTGCTTTTGAGTCTCTTTCTTTCCCTTTTCACTTGTTGTGATCTAAGAGGTGGGGGAAGAGAGAACCTCCAAGTGGGAGAAAATAAATTTATTGTTTAAATTGAAATCTTGTCACTTGGGACATCCTAATCTGATGTGGAAGCAACTGTATGGAAGTTACTGATTCACATACGTGTTGGTGAGTTTTAAGGAGGAAGAAGGCTATTTATGGCAACTCAGTTTTTATTTCTAGTAGAAAATATCTCAATAATTAGTGCTGCATGCCTCTGAGAAAGGAAAAAAAAAAGAGGAACTAACTGAAATCAGAAGTGGTTGGGATAGCAAGCAGTTAAAATCCTTTGCAAGTCTTTATTCCACTTGCAACATTCCCCTCTGGTTTGGAGTGACAGGCACTGACAATAGCCAAGTTAGCTTTAGTGCTGGCAGAGTGGGGAACGTGTTGCTGCGTTGCTTATATTAGACTTTATTTAATTTTCTGTACAGTTTGTGATGTGTGAAAGAGCCTCAGTTCTCTGTGCTTCTTTCTGTGGTGCATTTCTAGTGCTTTCTGTGATTTTTTTTTTTTTTTTTTTACTGAGGAGGAACCTTTGTCTTCAGTACTGAGTACTGGAACCCAGTGCTGGTGTTGTTGAATTAGGAAGAGTTTGACATTTCCAATCACGTCTAATCAGGAGCTTGAGTTCTAGTATTGATTTTTTTACTGTTCTTGCAGCAGTTCTCATGCTGATGGATTTTGGTTTCTGCTGATTTTTATCTGGTTCAGAGCTGGTGATCTGGCCAGGAGCCCTGCCCGTCAGTCCATTGATTCCTCCCATGCTGTGTGGTGGGTCTGTTGGCAGCACTGCAGTAATGCTCATTAAAACCTCATTTGTTAGAAGAACCTCCTGTTTGTTTACAAGACCTTTGTTTTCCAAGCAGTACTTATTTTAATGAATGCAAATGTTGTTAGAGATTCTCTGTGGAAAAAACAAAACAAACAACTTGTTTTGGTCACCTGCTTTTGAAGCCTTTTGCCCTGGTAGGAGCAGGTACTGCTGCTGTTTAATGTCAGTTTTTCGGGAAAATTCCTGGGAAATTCCAATTTTTGTTCACAACTAGAGAAACTTAAGTTTGAAATGACTTGTGTGTGGGACCCGTAGTGGAAATAGGATTTTTTTCCCTTCATCCCATGTAGCTGAAGTGTGTGTACTTGGCTGGCTTGTTGTCAACGTTTGGTTATTCAGAGCTGGCAAAATTGCTGGCCCTGGAAGCGCCGCTGCAGCTCATTGATAAAAACGTTCTGGGTAAAGTGTCTCTGCAAGACACGGCAACACTGTTTGCCTCCTGTAAACTATCACAGCACGCGGGTCCTCACTGGAGGGCTGCAAATTTGATGCACAGTGAGCCGCGTAACAAAGTTTCCTTATTTCCTTATCTCCAGTCTGGAGGAGCGAGATAATGATTCGTTAACACGAGGAGTTTGCTTTTTGTCTTTAATGTTGTGCCTGTTTGGAATGTAGAAAGCTAATTTCTGCTCTGCTTATTTTGTGTTTGTAAACATAACTTGTTCCAAGCTTGATTTATCTTAATTTAACATCCTCTTGTTTTCGAAGTGAATTAAAACAAGCAGATGAAAAGAAAAAAAACAACCCACCATCAATGAACTTGATGTCTTCTCTGAGTACAAAAGAAACTATTTACACTGTTGTAGTAAAGTTCAATAAGATTGGGAATTTTCTGTCACTTAGGAGTTTAGTCTCTTACTTCTTGTTGGTATCCAAGCTTTTCTTTACCCTATTCTTAAAAATAACCCCAAGCACTAAACAACCCAATAAAAACCCAAAAAGCAGGGGGAACGAAAGTCAAGTTATCCCAAGTGATGAAACGTGAAGCTGAAATATCCTTGATAGCAGATGCTTAATATTGCAGAAAGGGACATAAAACCATGCAGAATGATGGAACTTCATTTACTGAAGCTCTAGAGTATTTCACGTAATTTTTCAGGGATTGATTGGCTTACTACTTTAAAGACAATTTCTCCTTGTTTAAAAAAAAAGCTTGCGAATGGAAAGTTTTTGAGGGTCCCTTTATTTTTAATTGCAGGTGATAGTCCAAAAAATAAAATCTTAATTTTCTATTTTAATTCTATCCAGGTAAATTTAGTGAGAACAGTGTAAGTCATAACAAACCTCCTTTGTTTCCTCTGTGAGGGAGCTCAGACTTGGGCAATGGGTAAAAGAAAACTTGTGTAACTTTGGCAGAGCAGCTGGTTTTGGGTTGGGAGGAAGCTCCTTGTCATCTTCCAGAGTGTGTGCTGCTGTGATACACATCTCAGTAAATGACAGGGAGTATCTTTGTGTATCTTGTGTATCTTTGGCTTCCACCTGCTCACTTGAAAAGTCGACTAAAGCCATGTAGTTGATCTTGTGAGGCTTATCTTTGGTTGAAATTACAAAGCTGCCTCTCTTCCCTCAAGACCTATCTGTATTTAGGGACTGTCTTGGTTTTTTGGATGCTTGTGAAATCTGTAGCAATAAGGCAAAACTACTTAAAAGAATAAAAGTAACAATTGAATTCAGATACTGTTGTAACAGATTCTGTTACATACTGTCTGAATGTTTTCAGTCTAATTTTAATGGTTATCTCAAGGTGAACTCCATCAAACAGTTTGGTTTAAGAAATGGTGATGTTACATCTCTTCACTGAGATTATCAAAATGGGAGGGAAAAACCAGGCAGGAGACAGTTACATTTATTTGAAAATGAAGGAATTGGTGAACAGTTACAAGAAGAGATGCTAATGGCTCGGAGTTGGAAACTGTATCAGAATATCTCACTGAAGTCACTGTGTTCACTGATCTCTTCTGCACTCCTATGGCTGAAGGGCACTTTGCTCAAACTGCTTTTGACTTGAGGTGGGGATTTTGTTTTTTGGTATTGCCTCAGTGAAGTTGGTGGCATGTGCAAGTCAAAGCTTTTATGCCTTAGATCAGAGATAAGTAGAAGTCAAAAGCAGAATCTGTGTCTGAGAGCCTCAAATTTGGCTTTTGTGTTGCTTCCTCCGTGCCCTCTGCAAAAAGCCTCAGGTGCTGTAATGGGTTGGAGTAGGAACCAGAAAACACCTGGGAAATAGTGATTTTAACCTGCTGAGGCCAATTGTTGCAGTGATAGGTGTCAGCTGCCTCTTTTTATGGCGAGCTGACAGTGCATGGCAATATTTCAGCTGTGAAACTTTGTGCGGTGTCAGAGCTGTGCGCTGAGAAATGTGTGAAACCTGCCTGCAGTGAGTAGTCTGGAAACCTTTGATTTGTAGGTAAGTGGTGTTTTCCATCTGATTGTTACAGGCTGAAGCACAGCAAACTGCTTTTTAAGGTGTAACAGGCTACTGAAAACTTTCTTTCCTTAACCAAGGGCCCAAGTCTTGATTTAAATTCCAGTGAACTTGGATTTTTAAATTGGAAGGGTCTACTTTCTTGTAAGGCACGGGGAGCACTGCGAACAAGGTAGCAGTTGGAGCTTCCCCCCTGTGCAAAGGGAGGAGCAGGAGGGGTAACAGCCCTAAATTTGGTGGTGTTGTTTCCTGCTCCTACACATTATTATTTGTTTTTCCTGGGGAATGTAAGGATGGCACTTGCATTGTGACTTTTGTGGAAATATAAATCAGCCACAGTTCTAAAAGATTCATTAGAAGCCCACGTTGAAAGCAAGCACTTCCTTAAAGCCTCAGTTCTTCAGGGAGCAGAAAGCTTTTGAAACTTTTGATAATGATGATCTAAGCAGCAACTATTTTACTCTCCAGTGACTTCCTGAAGGAGAAAGGGCAAGGGAACGTATTTTTAAGACTGAGGCACAATAAAGCTCTGTTAATATAATTTTTTTTTGTTATTTCCAGGAAGCACTCATTAATTCCTTGGTGCTTCAAGCGCTGCATAACAAATGCAGACATATAAAGCTTCAGAAAAGAGAGGATGTTGAAGTAAGCAGCAGTGCTAACTTGCACAGATGTGATTTCTCATGCAAGTTCTCTCTTGTACACGTGTGGACAGAGTGTGTTTGCTGGCTGGCAAGGGCTGGATGTGTAATTTCAGGAATGTAAAGCAAATATTTTCATCCTGCTTGTGCCAGTGTTCAGCTGGAGCTGCTGGATCTTGTAGCATGGTATGGAACTGTTGCCATCCCACGTCCAGTATAGGTAATAAAAACTAGGTAGTCAACAATTAGTGCCCTTGGGGAAGTTCACTGTTATGTTCTGTCACTGCCAAGCTGTGACATGGGTGGATTTTAATGCTGCTTTGAACTAAAGAAAAGATTTATGACCATGAGGATGTTAGCCATGTGTGTTGAATGTTCCACCTAGATTCATTCAGAACTGCTCTTGAATGTCAAATGTAAATATAAACTCTCTATTTCAAGATCACACTAAACAGGTGTATTAACTGTGAGAATCTCATGATGTGAATTTGAGCCATTTGGAAAACAGTCCAACTTGTGTCTTTCATTGTAGAGCAGCAGCAGCAGTGTTATCTGATGGATGGATGTGGTTCTTACTTATCAACCGAGCTGCTGTAATAAAACAGCCCTGTTTGTAAAGCACAGTACCTGTCAGACCATTATTAAAAGCCCTCAGCAGACCAGCAGCACAATGGAAACAGTGCTGCATGGGAGACTCGTTTCCAGCAGCCTTTTGGAATACACTGAGGAGCTGTCTTTTGGCAGGATTAAGATTTATGTCCATTTTTTTCAGATGCTTTCACGCAGGATGGTGGTGACTCAAACCCCCCCCCCCCCAACATAGTGGCTTTCACAGTTAACATTCCTAGTACAGTTAAATACAACAAGTATTTTTAAATGGTGTCATTTTAACTCCCAAGTGATGAGAGCTCCTATTTTTAAATGCTGAAGTTTCAAAGCTCCCATGAAGCACTCAGAGTAAATTTGATTCTACCTCTTCTGTGAGAAATGGCCAGAAATTCAGCTTTTGAAACATTCTTCCTCTGAAATTATCCAGGGCGAAAAACAAGACCTAGGCAAGACAATAAGTGTGAGCAGTAGGAATTTGACGTGCCCTCTGTTTACATCTCTAATGGGTGCTACCAAAAGGGCCGTGTTCTGCTCTATGGAGTAGCGGGCTGAGGCAAATGTAATTTGCAGGAGTTCTGAGGTGTGGGAAATCAATACAGAGTGTTGTGATGATGGATGAAGGATTCCACTGCAGAGCACAGCCTGGCATCAATAATTCAGGGAGCTGCCATGGAAATGGATTTATTTCCTATGTAAATAGAATCAATCATGAGCACTGAGGAGTTTGGATATGAATTTCTCCAACCTTTGGAGATTTACTCTTGTTTTAATAACAGGAGGAGGAACACAGGGATTGATAAGAAAACTACCTGATTGTCTTATCCAGTAGACTTGATCAAGAAAAGCTGTGGGGTTTTTTCCATTGTGATTGATATGTTTGTGTTTTCTATGTGGGATAAATCAATCTGAGTGTCTTTAAGTGTAAGAATATTAAAGTATGTAACCTGTTTTTTTTTCCCCTGTAGTTATGCTCCTTGGTGTCCAGCCTGTCAGCAGATTGAATCCACTTGGGAGAGCTTTGCCAAGGAGAGTGAACACCTTGGCATCACTGTTGGGAAGGTGGATGTCACTCAGGAACCAGGTACAGCATGAAACAGGCTGTTTTAATAACAGGAGTGATTTAATATAAGCATCATTTAGTACTTAGCTAGCTTTTAAAACCAGCATAATGCCATCTATATTTTTATTTCTCCATACAGCTGAATGTTATAAACAGTGAACTGAATGTTATAAACTCCATTTGAAGGATTAAAGAATTGAGGGAGTGATCTGGCTTAATACTTAATAAAAGAGGCTTATTCTCTATTTTAATCTACTCCCCTGAAAGCTGTTGCCTGTCTCATTCCTGTCTCCTCCCAAGTGTCTGCAGAAGATTCCAGCTCTGTCACTGGAGAGTTCCAGGGTGTGGTACCACTGCCTTAATTAAAGTTCTTAACTGTTTCCATGATGGTGCTGCTTTATTGTCTCCTTTAATTGTGGTAGTGCTTTAAATTGCAGTTATTTGTTGTTGCTATTGTTGTTTTCTGTTGGTGATGCACACATGCAAATGTCTTTATGGAAGGGGTTTCCTGGCTATCCACAGAAGCAGGACTGCAACCCAGTTTATTCCTTTAGTGACTCCCTTCAGAGGTTTGGGTGTGTGTTTGTACAAGCAGGGCTAATATTGGATAAACCTCTGCATCCCTGGGGAATGCTTCACGCTTGTCTTGGCTTTGAGGGGATAAAGGATTTTGTCAGCAGTATCAAAGAGATGTTACTACAATAAAGAGGCTGAGCTTTACTGATTTTTCTTTTTTTTCTTTTTTTTTCTTTTTTTTTTTTTTTACCTTAGAAAGCGTGTGTAAAATGTGTTCATTTTATTAGTTGAAAACATACCCAACAAGTTGCTTTGTCAAATAACAGCAGGGAAATTACTGAAACTCTGGTCTTAAAATCAGCAATTTAAGTTCACGAGAAAATGGCAACTGTTCTAGATCTTGCATGGGCTCATGTTTTGTTAAAAGTTCACAAGGATACAAAAACTCTTAGGCCAAAAAGCTGCACATAGTAATCATTAATAGCTTAATGAACAGATTAATTTGAATATTACTTTTTTTTTAATGGCTGTAAATTTAAAACCAACTTCTCACCTTAACAAAGCAATGGTTACCCTGAAGTAAGGCTGTAAATGGGCATTCATTATAATCCTATCCAGTTATTTTCTCCCAATTAGGCAGGGATTCTTTGGCTTATGTAATGTTGAAATGAAAGGATTTCCATCCTGACTGTGGCGCTGGCACATGACTCTCATTTAAAAACGCACTTTCAGATAGAAGGCTGTAAAAATAAAATACTCTGGATTTCAGAGGTAAAAAACTTGAACGTCAGTGCTGGCAGCGTGAAGGGATCAGACCCTTCATACTCAGGCTGGAAAACCAACACCTATTCCCTGTCGGACCTTTGGTGCTGATGTCATTCTGAAGGTGTATGAGTCCCTCTGGAAGCTTTCCCAAGTTCCTGAGGTATTCCTACCGCGGGCTGTGCTTCCTCCCTTCAGCTGGTCTGTTGAAGTGCTGTCTCCCTTTCCTACCTGCACAATGGTACCTTCATTAGTGCTGGTTGTGCGACCCCTCCATCAAACTGGAAGTAGCCAGAATGTGTTAAATTGGGGGAAACCTGCTAGACCAGTGCAGAGCTGCGTAAAATTGCACTTGCAAAACCTGCAGGAGAAAGTGGCCGTTCATGGGGCTTAATTGCAGCAGATGCCTCAAGAATAAAACCCCCCAGAGCCTTAATGACCTTCCAGCACATTTCAGTCACTGGGTGTTCCAGCCTTAAAGTGCCACCTCCTGCCTCATCTTCTCTAGTGAAACACTCAGGATGGAAAAAGCAAGTCCTGGAGATGCTTCTGGATCCCCAAATTCTGTGTGTTCATGGTGCCTTTTTTTTTTTTTTTTTTAAGCTCCCAACTGCAACGTTTTACCTGTGAATTAAAATGAGACCACTTGGATCTTCTGGGTCTTCTCTGAGTAGCTGTTGGATGGAAGCAGCTGTATTTTTGGATCCCTGTTCTCTATTTTAGGGCGTGTTAGAGTGCAAATACCGAAGGTTTCTTTATTCCTGATTAGCTGTTGATTTCATAATGGGTGTCAGTCTTTGATTTGCAAGCAGAAGCAGATGCTCAGCTGTATTTCAAGTTAAACTAGTAGCCGCTAAAAGTTTGTGTTAAACACACACCAAAACTTACTGTCTGTGCTTAACTTTTGTAGCTGACTCATATCTGCTTTTGCTGATTGAAGGAGGTGCCTTAAGATAACCAGCAAACCTCCAGCTGAAGCTTTGGGGATGCTTAAATGCACTTTGGCAACGGATTTTAAACTTTTAGATTTTATTATTCCTCTGAGACCGTATTTGCTCTAAGATTGGCTGCTGGTAAGAGGTTTAAGCAGCTATTTTGTTTTCTGTTTGCTTGCCTAGTGTTTGTAAGAACTTCAGGGAGTCTTTCAGCATGCCCATGACTTTCTCTGCTCGTAAGCTAATTATGTTCTTTATGGCTCTCCACCCAGTTTTCCTTGTGCAGCTGCACTTTCTGCTTTATTAATTCCAGTGTTACACTTGGGGGTTGGTTTTGCTTTGCATCCCCTGTGCTGGCACAGCTTTTAAGTGGGTTATAAAGTTGGCCACCACCTTGCATCTCCCAGCAATAAAGGCAGAGAGCTGAAAAGTTCCAAGTAGAGCAAGTTTCCTTTTTGGAGCTTTAAAGATGGTTTGCTTTAAACAGCTACAAAAAGCCCCCAGACAACAAAAAGAACCACAACTCTTTTTTGCCTATTCCGTGGAGGAATTCAGACTAGGAAGAACATCACCACTGAAACTTCTTTTAGAAATACCTGGTTTACTGCAGTAGGGCTCATCTTTGTCTTTAAAGGCAGCAACTCCCTTGCTCCAGTGCTTTCCCATGGCTAATCCTGGTGCCTGAAGCTGTTTGCATTATTGAAAGCTGAATAAGGACTTAGATTCCCCAAAGATTTTCTCAGAGTTTTATAAAAGGCCCAGTTAAATAACTGCACTCCTTACACTGGTGCTTTATATGAATGGCAATTGCTGGCTTGAGGAATTCAACCCTTCCTAATGGAGTTGGACTGCACATCTAGGGGTTGATCACCTCTGGAGGCTCTTTTTTTGTTTATTTGGGTTTTTTTTTTGTCTTTTCTGCTGTCTCATGGCTGATGCTCAAAATGCTGACGTGACTTCTCCTCCTGAATGGTGTAAAAAGAGATTATCATGCCTTAAACTGGCAATATTTTACCAAACAGAATGCTCAGACATCCCAAACTATTTTATCCATCTGTTGGCATGCCATTTGTAGTTACCTGGAGAGGAATGATGTGTGGGAAGGAAGAACAAGAACCTGGAAACATCCTGGAATGTGGGTGCATTTGTGTTGTTCTTCCTCTTGGTTGGAGCTGGTCTGGTCACAAACTTCAGCTTTTTGCAAATATTGATTAGAGAAACCCACTAATTAGAAAAGTTTCCATGCAGTAAGCATTCTCCAAGGTCAGCATTTTTCCACAGTTTGTCAGTATTTAGTATCTGTTACTGTTTGCAGCGTTTCTGAAGACAAACTGCTAAACCTGTATTTACAAAACAGTGGTAACAGCTCTGCACCTGCTGCTTTCTAGTTAAAATCTGTAGGTATTTATAGATAAGTCAGAATGCTGAGAAATTTCAGTTTTACTGAATTGTTTGTGGCTTTTTTTCTTCCCTGTTCTAGGCTTGAGTGGTCGTTTCTTCGTCACAACCCTTCCTACAATTTACCAGTAAGTGTTTTGTGCTGGGAGCTGCAGCTCTTGAGTCCTGCCTGTCACTTGTTTTAAACTGTAACTCCCATATGTAGGGGGGAAATGAAGGATTACTGACTTCTGATTTCAGCTCAACTGGAGCTTTGCTTGTGTGATAAATTCCTCATCTTACTTCAAGGGACTTTCCTAAAGTTTCCCTGTTACAAGTGCTTTTAAAAATGGGTCAGAGAAGGCATTTGCTGTAGCTCTTCTGCAATAAGGTGATGTCATCCCTAAAATACTGAACCCTTTATGAAGTCAGGGTCTCATGAGTCATGCAGATATATGTACACATCTATATGCACACTTTCAGTTCTGAGTTTTATTTTAAAAAAGAGGTTGGTTGTTAACCTCGTGTGCTTTGTATTTGCTGGAGTGCAAGCGAATATTGAACAAAAACAGCAGTTTGGGTAGAAACTGAGACCTTCCATCATGGATTGCAGTTCCCAAACACTCAAATTTCCGAGCAGGTGAAATCTATAATGTATGTAGGGTTTTGCTTGGGTTTTTTTTGGCTGTGGATACAGTTCCAGGGGATGTGTGTGTCAATGGGTATTCCTGTTTTCCAGTGCCAACGACGGAGTGTTCCGCAGATACCGAGGCTCCCGCACGCTGGAAGATCTTCAAGGCTACATTTTAGAGAGGAAATGGGAGGCTGTGGAACCTGTAGCAGGATGGAAATCTCCATCTTCTATAATGTAAGCTGCTGTTTTTATTAACAAGAGCCATGTTTTATAGCTCATTATTCACTAAGGGTCCTATGTTGACAGCTTACAGACAAAAGGCCTTTATTCCCTAGACGTGTAGCTTTGCAGAAGCAATCTGCATTGACACCCTGCTTTCCAGTTTCTCACCTTTAAAAGCAGTTTATTTGCTGCCTTCCCTTTTGTTCCTGCCTGCTAAGGCTTGTTTGTCATCTTTGAAAAGAAATGTAAAAAAAAAAAAGATACAACCACTGAGCATTATGTAAATGCCACTTCCAATATCTGCTGAGTGCTGGACTCAGGAGCATGTTTATGCAGATTATTCCTTCATGACTCCTGGCTGCTGGACCAGGCAGCCTTTAGCTTTAGGGATTTCTTGTGTGTCTTTACAAGAGAGCCTTTTCTCCTCCTTTGGAGCAGGAGACAGTGCAGTGCTTACACAGTGTATGAAAATTTGCTTTCAGAGCCAATTTGCTTTGAAATATCAAATCGGATGTTTCCGTGACACAAAGGATGAACCTGAGATGTGAGAGGCCTGCATTTCACCCTGGCTGAAGCTATTATGTGTAAATTCACCTCAGAGATCCACAGAGGGTCCTCATTTTTCATCTGAGAAGGGGGAAGAGTTGTAGGATATTTAGTGATGGGCAGAGGAGCCACAGGGCTGCTGGGAGTTGGGGAGAAGGGGGTTAGGGCTGCACAGGGCTATGCTGGGAAACTGCTCTTCCTTTATAGAATCAAATGTCCTCTTTCAGGAGACTGCTTTAGGATTTCAGACTCTCAAATGTGTTTGCAGTGGCCTCCTCCTGGTAATTGTTGGGGCATGAAGGGCACTGGAAGTCCATGGGATCTTCTGGTTTCTGTGCAGTTTGCTGTGTACCCCAACTCCTGCTGTCTTAGAACCTGTTCCTCCCATTTCCTTGTTTCCTAGGATGCACGGCATGGCAGGGCTGTTTCACTTCTCGGGATGGATCAGGGTAAGTAACTGTGTGGTGGGGTTTTCTCCACCCCCTTTTTGTGATTGGAGTAATCCTGATGGTCAAAACATAGCTGAAATTTTTATTAGCCTTTCATCAGGCTTAAGTTTGCCTTACATGTCATGTGTACATAAATATATATAGGTTCTATAGTATCTTTGCCCTATCAGTTTTGAAGTGCTAAATGGCAGTTTGACTGCAAAGATTATCACCATCAATAAAAATACTTCCCTTTCTTATTATCTTGGTGTAGTTACAAAGCTCTATCAAACTGTGCTAAGGGGATAAAGTGGGGTTGTGTTTTTTTTTTTTTTTTTGAGAGCTACTGCAAAAGTGGTTGTGAATACATTTAGGAATACATTTAGGATCTACCAGATTATCTCACTTAATGCTATTCCTCCAGATTATCTCCAGGTTCCTTTTCAGGGCTGTAAATCATGTTCTGCAGTTTGTTTGCTCTGTGTGTTGTACAAGGGAAGGGAGGGTCAAGGGTTTATTTTTTTAGGGTTTCAAACTGTCAGCACCATTTGCATAGGAACCAAAATTTGGATGATAGGGTGATTATGAGAAGTGAAGGAGAAATGCTTAGTGCACACTGTAAAACATTAAAGCATGTTTTACTTAATTGTTTTGAGATGCTTTCGTTTGGGAGCTATCAAAGGTTTCCCTGTGCATGCAAATAGTGAGAATTTTCAGACCTTTCCCGTTTTTGTTCAGGGAACAACCACTTAATCTTCAAGTGTAGCCGAGATTGAGACTGTGTTTGACTGTAGCAAAATATCTTAATATTGTAACATGCTTCAAAGAATAAACACAATAGAGGGTTTGAATAGTTTGTATCACTTAAAATCAGCATCAGGCTAACCCAGAATCCAACAGAAACTTGGAGTTGGTTTCCTGTGCAAACTCTTTGATTCTCTCTGGGTATGATTAAGTTTTTATAGCCTTGTGGTGTTTCTCTTCCATTGTATCTCCGTGATTTCCTTCCTGAAAGATTACCTGGGAAGGAACCTTCTCTAATTTGCTTTCCCCTTGGCTGAATATTTCAGCTGTCCATTTCCTCACTCTTCTGACTGTGCTTTAATAAATACTGGAAGCTGTTCTGACACTTAAAAATACTCTGGAATTTCAGGATATGAGCTCTTGTAAGTGCTGATGGTGGTTTGTTTGGCAAGATCTAATGTCATAATTGACTTCCTCCCAGACCACCTGACTCGCTGTGCTGCTTCGTTCACTGAATTGAATGTCTAGGTTTGCAGTTGCAAAGCAATATTAATATTGTATTTGGGTTATTATCTCTGAATTTATGAGTGAAATCACTTAGTCAGTGTCTGCTTAGGATGGGTGGCTCCTTTCAAGAGCCAAACAGCTCAAGTAAGAACTAAATGGCTTAATATCAGTTAGTGAAGAGTTGCCACATGAGGATGAAGGATGTTGTGACACTTTCCTGTGTGCTCTGAGGCTCCCTCAGAAGTTCATCCCCATGAGATTATTATGGCACCTCTGATGATGAGCACCTTAGGAAGAAGGAATTGTGCATCCTCTGCCTAAAAAGCCTTTTCATGTGAACAACTCAGTGAAGAAAAGCATGATCTAATGGGGTCAAAAAGGAAGGCTTTAGTATAAATACTGTTAAATGAAGGGGCTTAATCAGAGAGCAATTTATGCAATGATTTGGGCAGTAGGAATCATAACTGGTTTTAGCTGTCAAGTTATTAAATATCTCTTTCTCCTTTCCAGCAAATCCATAGCTACCTCACTGGCACTCTTGGAATTCATGTGTGGGTTTCTTATGGAATCTTCATTTTGGCCACTTTACTGATTGGCCTGTTCCTGGGTTTGGTAAGAAAGCAGATGATTTATCTCCTCAGTTACTGACAGCTTTTGCTTTGCATTAACTTGTGAAAAAAATAAACCTGACTTCCCTCATACTTAAATACCTTGCTTTAATAATATATTATTAAATACTAATACCCCTTCCCATCAGTGGGAATGATTCCAAGTTGCTGCTTTACCTATGGAACTGGGATTGTTTCCTCACAGAACACTTCAAAGATGTGGCTCTGTGACCTCTCAAATATCAACAGCAAATAAGAAACTGAGCTAAGAAAAAAAGATATACAGATGGGAGTGCAAGTTCTTTCAGACCAGTTGCTTGGTCCACAAGTGTGTTTTACAACAGCCAAGACATCCTAAGCAGTTCTGTTGACCACTGGTTTAAGCTGCTGCTAAATCACTAAATCATCAAGTGTGAAGGTTGGTTTTGGAACTTGGATCTCTGCCCTTCAGCTCAAATATTAGTGAAATAAAGACAAAATTTGAGTCTTGTTCTCAGTAGTATTGGGAAGTGGTTGCAAAGCAGCTGAAATTTGAAGTTAGGCAAACCTACATTTTATACACAATATATGGACAAAAGTGTTGTATAAAAGCAAATGTCTTTCATTGTCTGTTTTCAACAACTGCATTTTTCTAGATGGTAGATTGTCACCCAAGGACTGCACATCAAGTCCGTGTAACTAGTTGCAAATGGATATGATAATTTAAAAGAAACTTTCCTCCTCCTCCCTTCACTTAAAAAAACCCAAAACCACCCAAAATGCAAAAGCTGAAAAAAATGTAAAGTTAATCTCAGCTCCTTCCAAAAAGCTTGTCGGTGATTGAGATGTATTTCTTGAAGATGGTGTCAGCTCTCTCTTTTTCTTTGCATTATTCTCAGCATGTGACAAGGAGACACAAATTCCTTGTGTCTTCCTCTTATTTTGGTTGAAATGCACTGGGCTGTTTTGATAACAAGCACAAAAGGTGGAATACACTTTGTACAGTGGGGAGCCAGGGGTGAGGATGGAATAACATCCCAAAATACGGAAAGACTCGACCAAGATGGTTTCAGAGCTTTCCAAGTGTTCTGAACTTGTCTGCTTAAGATGCAAGCAGCTTCAATACCGAATAAATTTAGGAAAGTGGGAGGCAGAAAGCGGGTAGTAGAAAGCACAGAATGCTGGTTAGTACACACTGGGAAAGCACTTCTTCCCATGTTTTTATTTAGCTCTTATCTCTAAGCAAGATAATGTAATTTAGAAAGCTATATTGTGGGTATCGATCTAAAAAGAACCAGTGCAGGGACTTCTGGAACTGCTAATAAATGCCTTTGTAATTATTGCTAGTAAATACCTTTTGGTCCTTTCCACAGATCCTGGTTTTGATTTCAGACTGCCTCTGCCCAACCAGCTCAAAATACAGAGCTGAAACACCTGGTAAGTGGGTGAGAGGTTGTAGGTCCAAGTGTTAAATTTGTAGGAGGGAGGGCAATATGTGCAAACCAATAATCCAGGAAACAGGGAAAATTGGCTTGTCTTTGGCTTGTAACTCAGCAGAATAAAATGGAAGTTTTCTGTGCCTGATAGGCAAGAAAACTAAATGAAAGTGGAGGAGAAATACTACTGAAGATTTACTTGAGTTAATTGAAAAATAACAGAAAGTTCTCAATAGAATCTCATAATTTTTTGTTGTTGGAAGGGACCTTAGAGATCGTCTGGTTGCAGTCCTGGCTGGGATAATGACCGCAGTCAGTGGCACCCATCAGTATTTCAGGACACACAGGTGGTGGTGAACTTGTAAAGGCCACTGCCCTGGGGTTCAGTCTCACTGCAGCCTTTGAAACTCTCGTTGTGTTTAGAGGAAGCCATCACCAAGGACAACGCGGAGAACGCGGCGCTGGAGGAGCCCGAGGGGCCTACGGAGCTCTCCGCAGATGAAGCGGAAGAGGCTGCGGATGGGAAGGATCTCTCAGAGGGAGAAGATGCAGCAAACTCAAGTGCTGAGGACTCCGAGGAGGATTTGGCACTCGGCAAAGAATCAGGGGAAGAAGAAACAGAAGATTCGAGTGAGCAACCTCTGGCTGAGTCAGAGACTGAGAGCTCAGTGAGGCAGCGCAAGGGTCAGGGGGCTGAGAAGGAACTCTAGTTCTCCCTGGGGGAGTTTGTGCACCTGGACCAAAGAAGTGTCAGACCAGGGTCTGAAGCTGGAGCTTAAACTTGATTTGTCATTTGTGTTTACCAAAACCTCTGCTCTGCCAGCAGGCTTTCTTTTTTTTAAGCTAGGACTTGCTTCCTTCGTTGGATAAGCACAGATGCTGTGTTGTGTAACCTTAGCCGTGACAATCAAAGCCAGTGGGGCTTATCTGGTCTGTGTCTCCTGAGAGAAAAGGGGCTGTGAGCCCCAGTTCACCAACTGGGGAGTATCTGTGTGTGTGTATATTGGGTGTGTCCCTCCCTGAGCAGGAGCAGGGCTTTTTAGCTCCACGGTAGCTTGGCAGGACTGGGACTTCTCTGTCTGAATGTTTATTGTACCCAAACGCCCCAGGAGCACAGATAAGGGATGCACTCCTGAAAGAAGGCACCTTACCAGTCTTCTATCGAAAATGTCATGTACAATGGGTTTGTTTTTATCACTTTCAACTGAAGCACCTTTCTCTTTCGTTGTTGTTCGTGGTGTTGTCCTGCAACCTGTCCCCAGATGTGTCAGGTTTTGGCGATCCAGAGGCACAGCTCAAGTTCTTTGACCCAAGAATTTGGAATGATTGAAAAACCTCAGGCAGAAAGAGAGTGGCAGCTAAATGTTTAAAATGCCTTGGAACTTTTTAAAAGGTTCAAAGGAAATTATTTTGTTCAGGGGGAATTTTTGCCAAAGCACAGCTCCAATTTTATTGGTTTTTTTTTAATTTGTTCCCATCAGGAGGCTGTAGGAAGAAATACTCACTTTGCAGTCAGTGAGCTGTGTGCCTCTTGCCAATCCATGCTTGCCATATGCAGTGCAGCCCTGCCACTTCCAACTGGGAATACTTATGGCAGAACTGAAGAGGCACTCGGGGGTTTACTTTTGATCACTTTTCTACTTCTTGTCACTGGCCTTGTCACGCTGGGAAAAGAGAGGGGTGCAGGTGGGTGGTGGGGAGAAGCTGTTGGTTTTGCTACTTAGATCAGAATAAAAGGGTTGTGTGCTGAACATGGACAGTGAAGATGGCTCGTCAGGTGGGCAGCGTTAGGTTGGTTAGAAGACTTGGGTCACCACAAAAATCAGTATATCACTCCTTTGGGTTAATACACGAGTTTTTTTGGGAAGGAACATCTACAGTGAGATCCTGTATGTTGCTGTTTTGTTGGCGTGTGACCATGTGTGTGAGATGTGTCTTAATCTTGATACTATTTTTAATATATATATATATATATTGCGTAAGCCTTGCTCACATGCATGAATTTCACCTTGTTCTTCAAGAGTGGAGAGTAATCCAAGATGAGGTCATTTCTTGTTAGAAGAGACAAGGTGCAAGTGCAAAATGCTGGTTTCCTTTGAGACTGACATCAATAAGGCCAATTTGTGTTGAAAGTAATGTTTTGTTGTTGTTTTTGTTTGTTTTGTTTTTTAAATGCTCATAAAGAAGGTATTTACTAAGAAAGCTTAACTTTTCCCATCTCTGTCCTATCTCATCTGATGGTTTGGAACTACGTGGTAGAAACTTCTTATTTGTCTGTCTGGAGCTGCTCAAAGAACAAAAGACCACAGCAGCTTTTGAAAAGCTAAACTTATGTTTCCAAAAATCAAAAAAAAAAAAAACCACTCTGTGGCCACTGTAGCTTGGAAACTGTGCACTTAGAAGCTCAGAGTACAGAATTGTTTCCATTACGTTCCTTTTTTTCCATTATCTGTGCATCAGGAGCTCTCGGAAGTCTGAAAGAATACCAGGAGTGTGACCACATTTCACGAGGGGAGCAGGAGTTGGGGGGTGTGTTCAGGTACATGAACTTGCATAAGATAATACAAGAACAGACATGTTCCCTAAATTGTGGGTCCAAACCTACTGGGCACTGAAAAATCTGTGGGACTGGATCCAGCACGGGTTGAGGGCAGTGATGCCTTTGGTTGTCCCCAGAGAGGCTGCTCTGTAGCCCCAGAGGGTCTTGTGGTTCTCAGGGTGCCGGAGGGAACATGTCCATGTGGAATTTTGTTTGGACTTCTCTTCACTTTTGTATTCTCCTGGAGCCAGTCACCTCATGTTCTCTCCAGTTTTTTAAAGAGGTTTTGATTTCCAAAGGTACAGCACATCTCTGCACCTCACACGGCTTTCTTGAGCGCTGTGGGGAAGGAAGTGTGGAAAAAATCAAGGGTAGCTCTTCCTGCTGCCCAGCATGAGGTGTTTGGATGTTTACACAACAAGGAGTTCTCCCAGGAGTTGGGTCTCACCACACTGTCTTTGGATTCCAAAGGCGAACAAACCCACGGGTGGCACTTTGTCCTACAAGGGACAGGGGGTGTGAGATGCTCTGAGAAAGGTCAGAAGCTCCTTTGTGTGGTGAGTGGAGTCTCTGCTTACATTTCCCCTGTTGTTTCCTGGCACAGTTGAGTTTGGGTTGTTGAAACTGAAGGGATCAAGTGTGTTCCATCCCAACAGGCTGAACTGTGGGATCACTAAGCAGGGCTTAAGTGAGCAGGCAGCAAGTGGCCACAGTTCACATCTGTCTTGTGAGTCTGGAAATGAGCTATGCCAGGCTTCTGAGGCTTCTGGAACATGGTAGGGATGTCATTGCTCCTGTGTTGTCATCAGTAAAGTGGGGGATATGAAAGGGATTTGACATGTATCGGTGTATCTCATTACAAAGATCACTGGGTTGTAATTGGGCTTTAGAGGGCAGCCATTGATCCCTCCAACTTAGCTGTGCATTTGTAGGAGATTTACTGGAGCGTGACACTGGACATACCCAGCTGTGACCAGTGTTTATGTGGCAGACAGCAAGTAGGGAACACTGCAAAGGCTAAATTTGTGTTCAACAGAAAAACTGTGAGCTGTGCAGGAAAGGTGTCACGTTAATATCCTCTCCAGGATCAGTTTTCTTCCCACTAAAACACATTTTAATTGAATCACACCAGTAGTACTAATTAGACTGTTACAACTGTGTTAAACTTGGTGTGTTTCCAAAAAAGTCAGGATCAACCTTTTGTGCAATCTGAGTGTTGTGTTATGCTTTATCTTAAAAACTGGAGCTTGTTCTTGGAACCTCAGTATGGACAAAACGGCCTTGGGGTGGTTGAGAACCAATTTAAGTATCAGCTGTGCTGCTTGCCCCTGGAAACCTGTCCCTGGTGGATCTGAATGGGAATCCCTAACAGCAAGTCAGTCAAAAATTCCTTTGGGCTGGAAATCCACCCAACCTTCCAAACCTCTTGTCCCTGAGGTCTGTGTGAAACCTGTGAGTCTCGGAATGCTCTGTGTCTGCTGCCCCCGGGGTGGCCTGTGTTGTGTGGGATTTCCTCCTGGGAATGTCACTTGGGATTGTCTGTTCCATGGAAGTGGTGCAAATTTATACTCTGGGGTATTTTTACTGAAACTCCACATAAACTTTGTATTTATGACCATCTCGCAGTAAGTTTTCATTTCCTCAGTGCGTGGTTGGCTCATCGCTGTCTGGTCATAATTTGGTCATAATTTGGTCATAATTTGGTCATAATTTGGTCATAATTTGGTCATAATTTGGTCATAATTTGGTCATAATTTGGTCATAATTTGGTCATAATTTGGTCATAATTTGGTCATAATTTGGTCATAATTTGGTCATAATTTGGTCATAATTTGTCATATTGGTCATAATTTGGTCATAATTTGGTCATAATTTGGTCATAATTTAGTCATAATTTGGTCATAATTTGGTCATAATTTGTCATATGTCATAATTTGGTCATAATTTGGTCATAATTTGGTCATAATTTGGTCATAATTTGGTCATAATTTGGTCATAATTTGGTCATAATTTGGTCATAATTGGTCATAATTTGGTCATAATTTGGTCATAATTTGGTCATAATTGGTCATAATTTGGTCATAATTTGGTCATAATTTGGTCATAATTTGGTCATAATTTGGTCATAATTTGGTCATAATTTGGTCATAATTTGGTCATACTCTGTCATAATTTGGTCATAATTTGGTCATAATTTGGTCATAGTCATAATTTGGTCATAATTTGGTCATAATTTGGTCATAATTTGGTCATAATTTGGTCATAATTTGGTCATAATTTGGTCATAATTTGGTCATAATTTGGTCATAATTTGGTCATAATTTGGTCATAATTTGGTCATAATTTGGTCATAATTTGGTCATAATTTGGTCATAATTTGGTCATAATTTGGTCATAATTTGGTCATAATTTGGTCATAATTTGGTCATAATTTGGTCATAATTTGGTCATAATTTGGTCATAATTTGGTCATAATTTGGTATCTGGAGGCCAGCAGGATGTGGTCCAGGATCAAGGTGCAGAGCTCAGTGGCCCATCCTCAGACTGTGTCTCACAGCAGACTGAGCTGAAGGAATGGTCCATAGGGACAGCTGTGCCAGAGGGAGAAGGGACTACCAGGAACCATCACTGCAACCCACCTGGATGATGTGAACAACTCCTAGATCCAGTACATGGATTCATTTTCTTCAGGTGAGTTCCCGGAGCTGCCTTTCCCTGGGAAGAGAGCAGCTGCAGGGCTTGGCGGATTTGCCGCTCCCTTTGGTTTGCTTCTCTTCCATGGCATCCATTTCCTGCTGTCAAGTGCAAGTTGGAATGGTGTGAAATGAAGCCTTGCGAGCATTTTGTTGGTTTGCTGTTTCATCAGCTACTTCTCCTTCACTTTTGTGAGAACATTGCATTTTCTCCATGAAAACAGCACGTGGAATACTACAAGCAAAATCTGGTCTGGCAAACCAAGAGCTCTGCTTTTGTAGAGGAAACACGAAGGTATTCTGGTGGCTGAACTAAAGGGGTAGAAAAGTGTGGGGTTTCTACCTTGGAATTTTGAACTGGAGCAGCAGTAACTCCCAGCTCTTGGGAACGGGGCTGCCAAGGAGTGTGTGCCTCCTCCTGGGAGCTGATCACACTGCAGGGACTACTTGTTTTAACCCAACATTCCTTTCCCGGTAGAAAAACACCTAAAAAACCTCTCTGTGCTTTACTTTCACTTTGTCTTTCCCAAGGAGAATAGAAAGCTCCAGATTTAAACATACAGGGAAACAAATGGGAATTTGTGTCGGTGCCACATAAGGAAATGAAAAAAATCACCCTTGCTAAGGGCACTTTTTATGTCCCCTGCCCCATGCCCCAATCTCCTGTCATCTCAGCATCCCCAGACTGCCCAAAATAGACATGCAGGGGCCTGTTCCAGCCACCTGCTCCCTGCCTGTGCTGAGTGGCCAAGGAACTGTCCCCGTCCCTGCAACATCCATCAGTTTTGACTCCCCTGCTGAAGGTGCTGGGATAAAACACCCCCCAGATATTTCCTGTTGGTCCTTCTGACTGACTTGGAAGGGACAAAAGGAATATTGGTCCAGCTCTGACTGGTGTGAGAGACTGTCTGAAAATGCCCTAGACAATAGGGGTTTTCTGACTTTATTTTGGAGAAATTCACAAGTGTAATGGGGAATTTGGAAGCCAAAATGAGTGTTTGCTTATGTAAGTGGCTTGATAAAACAGCTTTGCACAGCAGCCTTGATGGCTTGAACACTGAAATATTTGAATTATATGCTGCAGTTAACTTGGCCAGTTAATCTTCACTGCAGTTGACTGGAGTGAGGAAATCCCAGTTGGCTCCTCCTTCCCCTGTGGATGTCAGAGGGAGATCACTGGCTTATTGATATCAATTTGCAGTGCACAGCTGGAAAATTGAATTAGACACACACTTGAAAGTTTACCTTGACAAACAACCACCATAAACCTGTTGCAAACCATGTCTATTTGTTAAAACCTGAGTCAAGATTCAATCTGGAAATCTCTAACAAACTTAGAAATCATCTAAACCAATGTTTTGCTTTTAAACAAACTTTCTGGTTTATCTGGATGTTTTGGATGATAAAGGTGTCCATGAGGGACTGCACACTCCTGTTATTGCAGGTTTAACTACTTATTTCTTTCTTTGCTTGTTCTTTTTAATTTTTACCATATTTTATCCCATGGTGTTCCAGGTTGGCCTTGACCATGTGGAATAAAACATGGTGCTGAAGTCCAGTGTGACACTGGAAGAATAAATACACCAACAAGAAGTTGGTGTATTTATTTTATTTTCGGGATGGAGGTAAGTTGAATCCTGATGAGGCCCCGTATTAATGATTTACAGACAAAAGCTTAAATAGAGAGGGAAGTGGGAATAAACTAACCCTGTGGGATCTGCAGCCATGTCTGGAAAACCAGTGTGCCTTGGTGATTTCGAGGAGTATGCCAAAACATTCCTACCCAAATCCGTGTATGATTATTACCGATCCGGAGCCGATGACCAGGAAACACTTGCGGATAATGTGGCAGCGTTTTCCAGGTAGGAGGATGATTGAAGGCTGGGGTGGGAGGCAGGGGTGTGAGTTCTGCTTTAGTGCTGGATGTGGTGCAATTTTAGAGTTTTCCATGTGAACGAAACGCAATTTCTCTGCAACTTTTTTAGCAAGAAGTCTCAAATCACTGATTTTTTCAGAATCATTGTCTCTCCCCTCTCACTCCTCCACCCAACACTTGCTGTCAAAAAATTAAAAAATCCATTAGCACCTTTTTAGCTTTCCCTGCATTTTGGTTCTTTTATTACCAGAAATTCTCTAGATCCTTCAGCTCCAATATTTAATCAGCCAGTGAAACTGTAACTGCTCCATTTTGGGGCTACAGTGCCAGCAAGGGGTTCTTGGGGTGGGGTTGAACTTTTTAGGTCCTCAGGGAAGCCTTTTGCTTGTTCCTCCTGAAGGGAATGATTTAGGCAGCCTTCCCACGTTAGAAGGAGCATTTCCCAGCTCTGGGATGAGCTGGCAGAGCCAGGGCTCAGTCCTGGGTGGGCAGGATGTGCTTGGGGAGGGGGTTCCAGCAGGTCAGGACTTCCCCAAGGGATATTTAAAATGATGGGCAACTCCTTAACTTAGACTGGAGCCCTGACCCAATGTCCAAACCTGGCTGAGGCCCCCCTTTGGCTCAGGAGCACGAGGACAACACACAGTCAGCCAGCACTGGCTGTCAGAGCAGTGACAGTGTCCCAGTGTCACCTTGTTGGCTCCCCACCCCCAGATGTCCCCAGGCAGGGCAGAGGGAAGGAGGCAGCTGGAGGCTGCTCCCTCAACCCAACTGGGCCCCATGGAGCTGCTGCAACAGCTGCTGATCCCTTTCCTTGGGGTGCCCTGGTGGTGCAGACATTTAACCCCTGCACTTGGCTTTGCTTATCTCTAAAGGCTTTGTCTTTAATCCTCCTGAGTCTTAACAAACCAAAACAAGATCTCTCTGATTTATCTTGTCTTTCTCCTTCCCCACTTTGCTTTCCTGCTTAGAGCAGCAATTCTGCTCACTGCTCCAGTTGCTTTTCCACAGGCTGTGAGCAAGTCAGCCGGAAATCCCATGGGAGCTGGAGGCTGTAGGAGATGCAGTGATAATTCAGCAGGATCTCAAAGGCCAGATGGCAGGAATGGGCTCAGAACCTTCATTTTAAGGACACACAGAGGAAAGCCTTATAATGTCAAGAGAAGAAAAGTCACCTCTGCTGTGAGCACTTATTGCAGACTGTGCTCGTGCAGAAGCCATCATCCCAGACTGGAATTTGCCTGCTCAAACACGAGCCAAGGGGTTGCCCTGAGGAGTAAATAGGAGTAGGAGGGGGTGTAGCGGTGCTCACCTGACTTTTATTTTATCTTTCTTAATGCCTCCAGATGCTCTGATGTTACCTGCCCTCATAAATCCAAAATGAGACGTTAAGGGAAGGACACTCAGGAAATGCTGGGAGGCCATAAACTGTGGGAATAGTGAACATTTTACCTGTAGCTGCAGGAGCTAATCATGATTAAACTGGATCCAAACCTCCCAGAGCTGGGTATGTTCCCTTGCTGTGTTGGCACTGGCAGAGCTGGATGGTGGAGCTGAGATGAGGGCTCTGAAGTTGCTGCCCACTGCAGGGATTGATTCCCGTGCTGAACAGGTCCTGTTTTCTCAGTGCATGGGATGCTGCCATTAGCAGTCATAACACTGAGTCTGCAACCCATCTCTGAAAGGTGGAAACTGCTATAAAGGCTTCATAATATTTTGATTTAAAAGTTCTTTTAACACAACAACTTGTGAAATCTTTTCTTTTCCCTTGGATGCTGCCGGGAGGAGCGTGGCCTACCCACCATGGATGCAGGACAGCTGCTCACTCAGCTCCTCACACAGCCCTGCTGTGGCTCTGAGCACGTTTTTTCTGCCTGTTCCCCAGTGCAGCTTGTGGGTAAATATAAAGTAAGGTGGACTTTAGACCCCCGAGTCACAGAGATCACGAGGTCGGATGATTTTCGGACAGACGTGAGTAAGTTCAGCTTCGTTTCCTGTGGATCTCCCCTGCCAGAAGCTCAGCTGCAGGTTCAGCCTGACTCAAACTACATGCAGTTTAGTGAAATATTTACAGACATGTAGGATTGCCACAGGATGGTGGCATTTCTAAAGGAATAAATAGATTGTTATTAGGGATTAATATAATTATTGTTGAGGAGTAAACTTGGTGGATGTTTGTGTCGCTATGTCCCACAATACCTTGGAATACCACAGCTGTTAAGGAACCAAGGAGCCTGAATGGAGAATGGATTCCTGTGGCAAGGTTGGGATGCCTTGACCTTGAAGGCATTCTGGAAATCACTCTGAAATCTCCCCTCTTGGCATTTTAAGGAAGGGGGACATCGGTGCATGTAGGAAACTAAACAAACAGCCCTGCAGCACCAGGGGATTGTTTGGGATGAGCTGGGAAGGGAAACAAGAGCTACTTCAAAATGTGTTGCAGTTTGAAAACGTTTTTCACAGCTGAAAGCAGTGAGAGCTTCCCTTTTACCCCTCTGCAAGATAAAATCAGAAGTTTTTCAGCTTGGAGAAAAAAGGAAAAACCCCATAAAGATTAATCCTTCTCCTTCCCTTTAATCCTCCCCTCAAAACAGCTTTTAGCTGAAGTTGCCTAAACCAGCAGTGCTTGCTGCCTTCCTCACTACAACATCTCCCCCTTCCAGCTGGTAAGAAGGATGTGCTCACTCTGCTGATTGCAGCACATGAGTATGGACTTGGCTGCAAAAAGATGTGGGTGATGAAGAGATGATGAATTAAAAAAACAAATCCAAGTTTTTTACAAAATATCCAGGAAATGTTTTCACTGAAAAACTTGGAGGAAGCAGGTGGTGTGGTGCAGCTGAATGAACATGTGCTCTGCTGACTGGGAAGTAAATACTACTCACGGGTCTTCCTTGCTGCTGCTGGGAGCATTTCCCTATGACTTGTCCAGAAAATGCCTGGCTTTGAGTGTCCATCAGACTCAGAGCTGGAAACACCCATGTTGGCACAGGAAGATCAGATATTATTAAAAGGGATAGTGATGTCAGTGTTTGTGTGGGACCCAATAAACAGTCAGGATGCTGATGGAGAGGATGTGACCTGAGAAGGTATCACTGCCTGGGGCTGCATCACTTTCCTTGCACTCTATTGGGAGGGGTTTTGCTCCCTCTTTTTCTTTTCCCAGCTAAAAGCACTTCAGGAATGTTGTGCCTCAGGACTGACCCTCACAGGTGAGCTTGGAGATGGCAGTGGCTCCTACCAGGTAACAAGGGTAGTAACCAGGAGGCTGGGGAAGAGGGAGATGCTCCACATCCCCTATGCTTCTCACTGTCTAAATGAGCAAGATTTTGAAAGGATTTTTGTTTTATTTATTTTTTTTTCTGGGAAAAGATGCCTCAGAGCTGAGTGGAATCCTTCAGAATGAGGGCTAGGAAGAAAGGAGGAGTTAAAAAAAGTCAAGTTTTCTTTGTTCCACCCTCAGCCCATCCTCCCCTGAAAAATAACAAACATACAATGGCATGAAAACAAGTCTGAGGACACACTTGCCCTGTGTGTCTTGGCACTGAACACCTCGGCTGACTCCCCATGGCCACACAGCTCCTTCCAAGCATCATAACTGTCTTTCTCCTCCCTGGGGAGCGTTTCCTGGAGAGCTGGCACGGCCCTGTGCTCCAGGACTTCAGGAAGGTGGGTCTCGTCCTGGCTCTGTCCCAGGCTCCTCAGGGAAGCGTCTCTTGATCTTTCTACAAAATATACAGGATTTTGTCTCTTTCTCACTTGCCAGTTTAACATGCAAGCTCAAGCTCACCTCTCCTCCCTTGGAGGGTAACAATGGCTCTGGTTCTCTCTCCATGCTGAGAATTACAACATTAGTAGTCAGAGCAGTTAGTCAGGTTCTTAAAAGCTTAAGCTTTTAATTCTTTTCTGTGATTAAAATCCAGTAGCCATGGGAGCCCTTTTGGAGGGAGGGAGGCCTCTGAGAGAGGCTGGTGCTTGCCGAGAGGCTTTGGCCCGTGTGAGAGGCAGCCCCTGCTATCGCACCCCCTCTGGTGGCTTCTGGTGACGGTGGCAGTGCTGTGACATCACCTGGATGGCGGGAAAAAGTCCCTTTTCACAGGCGTCCCCTGGAATGCAGCCCTGTTCCTAAAGGTTTGGGTGTTGTGGTGTTGAAGGGTGCGGTAGAGGGCGATTTGAGGTTTAGTTTGCAGCTCTGGCTGGCGCGGTGGGGTCCTGCTCCAGCCCCGGCACGGCTTTCCTGGTGTGACCGCGGGAAAACCCCCTTGCCCCTTAGGAGCTGTGAATAACCCCGGTGCCTCAGGCCTCTGCTAACGCTGTCCCTTTGTGCCGGTGGCAGGTGGCGGCTGTACCCGCGGGTGCTGCGGGACGTGTCGGTGCTGGACGTGTCCAGCTGCATCCTGGGCCAGCGCGTCTCCATGCCCGTGTGCGTGGCCGCCACGGCGATGCAGCGCATGGCTCACCCCGACGGCGAGACCGCCACTGCCAGAGGTGAGCGCACAGGGCCCCCACGGCGGGGAGGGCACGCACAGAATTATCCTGCTCATGGGGCCCAGCTCGCTTTCTCGCTCCAGGATGGGTTTGAGCTGCTGCTCATTGATTTCAGGGTTTGTTTGGTTTTGCTGTTTGCTTTGTTTGAGTTCGGTTCCCTCCCTGTGAAACAGGAGTATGCAGGAGTGTTACGCTTGTCACATGTAACACTGAAAACCGTCTGAGGACCATCCCTGCAGTGGGGGCTGCTCTCAGTTCTCAGGAAGAAGCTGCATCGCTCACGGGTTACAGCACAACTCCAACAGCCCTCTCTGTAAAAAACAGATTTTTCTAATGTTATACCGTGTTTGGGGCTACTGTTTTTCCCCTTCCCAAGAGATGTGCTGGAGGCCAGTGCTTTCGTGGCTGCTGTGTGTGCCGACGCGTTCCACACGGTGGAGCTCCAGCACCTGGAATGGGTTTGGGAAGGGCCGGAGCGAGCCCTGGTGTTGTCCTGTCCTGTCCTTTGGCAGCTCCTGTGGGTGAACTCTGGGCCAGGTTGTGCTGGGAAGAAACTCCGAAGCGTTAAACTGTTAAGTGCAAACGTGTTAATGCAATGGGGAGAGCAAGATGTGAAACACACAAAACTCAGGGTGGTTCTTAGCAAAAATTCCCACTGATTCTGCAGCCCTGCCACGTTTTAGGGCATAAATCCATAATGGCATGTGAAGTCAAAGGGTGCAATAAGGCTGAGTACCAGGGCTGAGTCATGGCTGTGGTAATAACTTAATTCAAAAGTTTCCTGATTTTTGTGCACTTATTTTTCAAACTTTAACACGTGATTACTGCATTTAGTGTCCTTGGGTTTTCGAGCTGGGGGAGCTCAGTGTGCTGGCACTGGTTGGAATATGTGCTCCAGTAAACATATCCCTCAGAACTGGGGAATTTTTGGTTGCTTTCAAAGGAGAGCATAATGAAAATCACACCCTTAGAACTCCCTGCCCTCACAACCCCTCACTTTGGGGCTTGCCTGGCTTTTGGGGCTGCTGCTCCTCCAGCGATGCTCTCCTGTACTGACTGAGCTGCACCTTCCCAAGACAGGACCTTAAACACCCCTTCAGTGACAGTTCTGCATCATTAGCAAAGGATCTTTTAAGCAAAACCTTTCAATTGTAATTTTAAAAGTTGCTGGGGACAGGCCAGCCAACACCGTGGAAGTTATTCCAAAGGTTAACTAACCCCACTCTGAGCAGAACAAACTGCAGTCATGGGCAAAACTTGCACAGCCTCAAATCCAGGTGTTGGGTTTACTTATACTTCTATTAGCTAGAATTAAAAAAAAAGAAAAAACAAACAACTAAACTTTAAAAAATGCCCATGCAGGCTGTAATAATGTTACCCCTCAGTTTCCTTTGACATGTCTAAATGCCAGGAGTCCCTCCTTATAGAGAAAGCTTTCTTGTGCTTGAAACAATTTCACGCACCTTGGCAGTTGTCCCAGTTCTTCCAGGTCTTCCTTCAAGTCTATTCCCTGGCATTTTAGTGGTAGCTCATCAGTATATAGGGCGATTTTCCAAAGAATGGATTTTCTGTTCAGTAGAAACTGAAAAATTGGGAGGAAAATTGTTTTGGATTAACTGAAATGTTTCATTTGATCCAAAACACAATGTTTTATTTCATTTTCCTACTGGCCGATGCTTTTAGCCATAGCTCTGTTTTGAAACAAAAGTGTTAGCTCAGGAGAAAACATTTCCACTTTGAAAAGATCAACACATGACATTTTGACTTAGGTGATTTTTTTTTTTCTTTTTCTCCTCCTCCCCACTCCAATTTCAACCTCTTTCACTAAAAATATTTGCCAAATGTGATGAATAATCTTAGCCACTGTTCAAGAGCGAAAGGTTATTCTCTAAACACTTTTCAATAGAGCCCTTTTGATCCTGAGGGATTTTTCTTGCTTGTCCATCAGGAACCTCGCTGTCCCTCTGTGCCAGGACATCCATTTGCCATCCTGATTCCAAGCTGTGCTTGCAAACCAATGTGCTCCCTGTGTACTGACACAAAATCTTGGGCACCATCCAGCTGCTTAGCAAGAAGTGGCATTTTTTTGCAGCCTTTAATTGATGATAAACGGATTTGCAGCATTATTTTACTGTTTATATATTTCTGTTTATATTCCTGCTAGTCCCATAAAACTCTTGCTGACCGAGTACCTTCTGCTCCTGTGTTTTCACCCCAAAGCAGCACTGCAATGTTTGACTTCTCCATGACTGGCTGAAAATCAGGCTGAGAACCTGATTTGCTTTTGGAAAGCTGTGAATGGCAGTGGCTCAGAGTTTTGTTTGCCCTCTGTGCCTGCCCTCAGACCTCTCTCCGAGCTGCCGCTGACGCAGGGAGGGTTTCGCCACCACCTGCGACGTGACTGCACCCTTTGCTTTGCCAAATGGAGAACGGGAATATTGACTGGAGAGCTTTTCCCCCCTGTTTTAGATAAGTTACTGGCAGCTCTGTCACTTCCACTAGAGAGTGAGTAACACCTTTTTGTTCCTTTGGGTCTTAACAGGCTCCTACCAGGCTTTTTGTTCACTCACTGGGATTCAGGTTCCTTGTGCTCATCAGTGACTGGGAAGGAGGGATTTGGTGATCTATTACTTGTTGTGCTCAGCCACAGTGAAAACAGCAGGATTTTGTACCCATCTTTAACCTGTTACTTATGCAGCGATCAAAAACCAGAGGTTAATTTTGAGCTGTGGCTGCTCCAGAGGACAACACTCCCCTGGGACAACACGGCCTGGGCTGACCTGACCCTGATTGCCCCTGGAGGCCGGCGTGGCCAGGGGACTTTGTGCTGCAAGTGCACCCAGGCAGCCTGGCGTGCCAGCCCTGCCAGGCCTGCCAGATCCCTTCTGGCCACGTGTGTCCTTCCCTGGAGACGCAGCCTTGCCGCACGGCTCACAGAACGCGGCGTGGCAACGCCACGACCGTCGGCATAACTCGCACGCAGGGTTTGGGGAGGGCATCTCCCAGCCAAGAGGGGTTTGTCAAGAGAGAGACAGTAAGTGCTTTAAACAACTCTGTTTCTCGGGAGATGCAACTCTCAGAAGCCGGCTGCTGCTCCCGAGAAATACCACCCTGCCAAAAGGACAGCATGTTGGTCCCGAGGAATGTCCTCTGGCCCTTAACTTGGGGGCAGTGGGTTCACTGGTGGATTCGGGGAAAAAGGACTGCAGTGTGGCTGCTGTGCTTTGGAGATGCCCCTAAAAGGGAAACGATGGGAATTTGCCCAGCAAGAGGGGGGGAAAAAAGCAAATTCCCATTCCCATCCAATGTAACCCTGACAAAATATGCACCTTTGAACTGGGCTCCTCTCCAGTGTCCTCCCCTGGAGTATGTTGCCACAGGGACAAATTCCATACCCTTCCCAAACCATGTAATGAAGTGATGTCCCACCCGGTGGGGAAACTGAGGCAGGTTTGGATCAGATATTAGGGAAAGAGTCTTTACCATTCTGTGATTCCATGAACTTCTCCAGCCTCCTGCGTGTGGCTGATCCTCTCTGTGATCTCTCCCACCAGGAGCCTGCAGGGTGTGCAAGGGTGAATGTGTGCTCTGGGCAACGCTCAGGAGTGAAAGACCTGAGGAAAATAAGAAAGCAAACTAAAAACCATCTGAAATGGTGTGAGGAAAGGCTGCTTTACAAAAGCACTGAGGTTTAAACTCTGGTAAATGTCACGTATTGCAGCAAGAGTGTCCCGGGGGAATATGGCTCTGCTAGGACTGATCTGTAACAACAAAGAGAGGTATTTGCAGCACCCCAAAGCTGAAATGGGAAATAGGGTTGTTGGAGGAAATGAATTGCTTCTGTTTGCTCCAACTGCAGCTCAGTGTGAGAGAAGTGGGAGTATATTTTTAGCAAAACCTAATTTGAGGTAGAAAGAACCCAAACCAAACCTGGCAGAGCTTCAGGACTCTGTATCTTATGGTTTAACAAGCCTAGAAAATTATCAGAGTAAGTTTTTAAATGATCAAGGCAAAACACAGATCGACCAAAACTGGAACTTGGAATTTCAAAAGCTTTGAAAAATTTTGTGTGTGAACTTGGAACTGGCCTGAGCAGATCTAAAATATGTGTGTTGAGCTGGTGCTTCACCAGAGAGCTGTGAACCTTGCAGGAGAGATGAGGGGAATTTGGTGAGTCTGCTTGCATGAGAATGCCGTAACCCCATTTGGGATGGCTGAACTCTGGTTGAACCAAACTGCTTAAATCTGATCTTATAAAAGAGCAAAGCCTCATTTTTCTCTATGATGCTAAATTGAAAGGATATGGTGAAATACCGTGTTTTAAATCTTCTCTTCACCGAAAATATTTAATTTTTGCTTTTGCAATGACCCTCGTGTCGGCTGGGCTGTGGAGGTGGAGTTGAGAAGGAAAGGCAGAATGGGAATAACTGGCTACCTTAAAGGCAGATGAACCATAACATTTACATTTCTCCCTTATCTGATCCGAGGGTGTTGCAATTGCTGGGTTATCAACCTTCCTGCTCCTTCATGTACTCGTGTTGGACAGAGCAGGAGGAATGCGGATCCTTTGTTGCTCAGCGTCGCTCTACGGACTCGATTTGGGAATTCACTTATTATGGAATTTGTGGTGACCCCCCACAGCCGGTTTTTAACGTGATTTTGGGCCATTTGGTATCCGCGGTCCTTTAGAAAGAAACCTCATTTCTTGGTACTCCATCGTAAGAGGGAACTATTTTCCGGAATTTTAAGGGGAGGAATGAAACGGCTTTTTGGAGTTTTGGGTGGTTGCTTCTGCATTTCCAGGGAGGGAAAGCGCCCTGGGAGGGCGTGACCAATTTGTTTGAATAAGCTGTTCATAAGTTTCCACTCCAAGAGCGTTGTAATCCTTATTTAATCAAATGTTGTCATAAAGACCACTTTTTAATTCCTCGATGGGCTGGAGGTGACGTCTTGAAACAGAGCTCCATTTACATTCAAAATATGCGTTCTGCGGTAGAGCAAGAAAAATAAGGCTCTCTGTAATATTTTGGAGTTTCACGGCGTGTTTTCCTTTATTTCATATTAAGCAACAGATTACTCCAAAAAGAATAAGTGCTAGATCCATAAAAATCTATCTGCACGAGGTCAGCTGGTGCAGCCTGGGTTGGAAACGATCCGTGGGGAGGGCGATTTCTGGGAGGCAAAAAGCTGGAAGCTTTTAATGCATTATTTTAATTTTTTATTTTATTTATTTTTTAGTTCATTCAGAACTTTGGGTGTGGATGTGTCCTTAAATTCATACGCCAGAATTTCTGACCAGTGACACCCAGACAGCAGGGGCCTACAAGCGGGATTCCCATGGGATAATTATTGATATGGGTTAGGCTTAGTTGGATTATGATGTGTTTTATTTCCAACATGGGAGCCAGGATCATCCTGATCACACCGAGTAAGGCAGAGAGTGCTCACAGCCCATCCCTGTTAGCAGCTGCTGTTAATGCAGCATTCCCTGGAATGCACTAATATTAAGGACAGGCAGGGTGTAATTATGTGCACCAACATGTGTTGGCGAGCCAAGTGCTCCACAGTTCAGACAACCTCAGTTTTGGATGACCCCAAACACGGCTTTGTATTCCGCAGCCTGCCGGGCCGTGGGGACGGGGATGATGCTGAGCTCCTGGGCCACGTCTTCCATCGAGGAGGTGGCAGCGGCGGCGGCGGGGGGCCTGCTGTGGCTGCAGCTGTACGTGTACAAGGACCGGCAGGTGACCGCGTCGCTGGTGAGGCGGGCGGAGCGCGCCGGCTACAGAGGCATCTTCGTGACGGTCGACACGCCCTACCTGGGCCGGCGCGTGGCCGACGTGCGCAACAGGTTCCAGCTGCCTCCGCACCTCAGGTACACTCCGGGGGTGGGTGAGGGGTGTGGGGAGGGCAGCTTCAGCTCTTCTTGTGCTCAAATGCAGGAACGCGTGGCTGTAAATCGCCCTGAATTCTCCGGGAGGGCAGTTTCTACCCCCACGTGTGTTTTGGGACGTTTTCTCTGCCCCAGAAGAATTTGTGGCCTCGTGATTGAGTTCAGCACTAATTCTGGTTCCCTCCCGCTGCAGGGCCTGTGAAGCATTCAATTTTAACAGAGTTAGACCAGAATTTTAACCTTACGATGGTGTTGTCAGGGCACTGATTTCCCTGGCCTTTTGCAGATGTAAATTGGTAGACTGTACAGGCTGCCCTGACAAAGATGTGCTGAAGTGCTGGCACAGTTTTAGCAGCCAAGAGTATTAGCTGGAAAACTATTAAATGGATGGGATATCCAGGACTTGGAGATAGAAATCTTGTGGGAATCTTGCAGGTAGGTCTTGGTAATGACTGCAGTTTGCCACAGTGTATGTAAAGGTTATTCAGAGCATGCAAATGAACACAAAAATGGAAAGAACAAATGATTAAAGGATCAGTGAAATTACTTTGGAGCAGATGAACTTGGATTTCTGGGTGAAAGCTACTTTTGAATATTAACAATGAAACTGAATTGCTCTTGCTATGTCCCCAGAGACTGTTGTGTTATACAATATATGTAACATGTACCCAGTAAGAATCACATCCTGAGGTCTCTCTTACATTCTGTTGGAATATTACGGAAAATAAGCCATGGGATTCTGCAATGAGTCTGATTCTCCACCTTGCAGGCAAAGACCCCTCCAGAGCTTGGGGTGTTGCCTCTCCCCCTTACACTTGGAGGTAAAATACGATATGATGAAGGCTGACAGAGCAGCCTGAGCTCTGCCCCTGTTGTTGTGTTATAGAGTACAATCTTAGGAGGAAAGCAGCAGAGAGCAAAAAAGCCCTGACATGTCCAAGCTGAAAAGATACCACACTGTGATGTGCCTGCCCTGTATCGTGATCCTGCTGTAGATCTGTGTTTGACACAACACCATCAATGCACACTGGCATTTCACCTGAAAAAGAATTAACTAATTCTTTAAATAGCTTATTTTTTTATGGGTGATATAACTTTAAGGCCTGGGGTTAGAGAGTTTCTGAATGCAAGTCCGGTGACCCCAAAACGTTTGAGGGAAGGGGCAGAGCATTTCTGAAACACTTTGACCCCACCTGACCAAACCATAATGAGGTTTTGAGTGAACTGGATGAAATCACACGAAACTGGAGCAATCCTTAAAGGTCCCAGTTAATCAGTGCAGGTTTCAGGGCGATGCTGGGCAGGGTTTTGTTGCAGGGTCGGCGGTGAAACCCCCCCCAGCGCGGGGGCTCCGCTCATTTGCGTGATAACTTTTTCTTGGCTTCGGGTTTTCAACAAAGTTTCAAAGCAACAACAAGGTGCCATTGTGCTCTGAAACCTATGTAAGGCAACATTCATTCAAGTGTTGATCTGCCTTTCCCAGGCCAAGAAAAGCAACAGTTATTTATATAATCTTATCCCTGGTTCTGTTTTTCTCTGGGTACCCCACCCTCCACAAACCAACAGCTGAAAAGCTGGATCTTGCTGGGAGCCCTCTCCTTCCTCCTTTGCTTCTGGGCCTGGAGCTGAACTGAAAAGCCATGTGAAATGCTGCTTGTTGCAGGCATGAAATCAGCAGTGAAAGCAGCCAGTTTCCATGCAGAACACCTCATGCACTTCCCAAAATGTGTAATATGAGTATTAAATAGCCCAATGTGGAAGGAGACATGGTTTCTGAGGATCAGAGCAATCAGCCTTGTGTGGGTGTCCTAGAACCTGATTGATTTGGGGCTAAAAACCCCAAATAGTAGCTAATGTTTACATATGAACTAAATTTACCAGGATATGAACAAAAGAGATGCAAGGTGAACTGGCTGCATGTTGGCCTTGTTGGACAGAGGGAAATTCTGAATTCTTTGCAAGGCTTCAAGCAGATCCACCCAATTCATGGAGCTTAACAAAACCTGCCTTCCTCCTTCTCCCCTTCCACCTACCTGATCCCTATTCCTTTAACAGCTGAATTCCCTGGATTTGAAAAACAAGCCAAACCAAACCGTGTTTCTTTTGCTAGAACTGGGCCTGTTGCCTTAGGCCAGAGAACCTTGCACAGAATCATCACAGAAACATAGAAAGGTGGGGGTAGGAAGGACTATAAATATCAAATGCTTGTGTTGGTTATCAAATGCTTTGTCAGCCAAAGGTTTTGGCTCACTAAGGACTGGGATCTGACATGCTGGGATTGGCCTTTTTTGCTCCTGCCCTGAAGTATAGCAAAGTTTTATCACAGATGTATTGATTCGTGGCTACTATAAACTGATTCGTGGCTACAATGGACCTTTCTCAGCCTATTTTTCCATTTCCTTTGTCATTTTAGATTAAAAAACTTTTCCAGCAGCGACCTGGCGTTTCCCTCAGGGAAAGACTTCGGAGAGAACAGCGGGCTGGCTGTGTACGTGGCTGAGGCCATCGATCCCAGCATCAACTGGGAGGACATCAAGTGGCTTCGGGGGCTCACCTCGCTGCCCATCGTGGTGAAAGGCATCCTCAGGGGTGTGTGGGGTAGAGGAACCCTCAGGGGGTGTGGGATAAAGGCCCCTTCAGGGGAGTGTAGGGTAAAGGCATCCTCAGGGAGGTGCAGCTCTACTGCTTCCAGTGGGAAAAACCCAGTAGTGAAGACACCTGTGGAAGCAGCTGATTAAATTTATACCTGAGATTGGATGCAGCCAGGAAGATTGAACTTGCTCTGTTTAATTGTGTCTGCAAACCCTGACCTGAGTTGATACAGCTTCAGGGAAAGCTGGATTTCCATTCTGTCCAAAGAGCGCCGAGCACAGTGTAGTGGTTTCACTAAGTCTGGATTATTACTGTAATCGTGCCAAAAATTTTGGCTGGGACGGAATCATTCAGCAAAATAACTTCTTAGTGATGAGTTCTAGAACAGCAGAGAAAATAAAGACTAGCAACCCAAGTGGCTGCTGATCTGAAGGGATTAAATGTTCTCTAACATTTCAAACTGCTTTCTGGTCTCCTTGCTTAAAGATGAAACATTTTTTCTGTGCTGAGGTGAGGCTTTGCAAGGTGGAAGCCCTAAGGTGGCTTTACATTAGCTGGCAGGAATTTTTTTAGGGATACCAAAATTCCCCTCCTCGTGGAGTCAGCAAGCTCACAGGTATGGAAGAACGTAACTAGTCTGGATTTCTTTTCCCAGCTGATGATGCTAAAGAAGCTCTAAAGATTGGGGTAAATGGTATCCTGGTGTCAAATCACGGAGCACGACAGCTCGATGGGGTCCCTGCCACTGTAAGTACTGGGGCCAGTGTGCATCAATTAGTCCCTAATTTGCTCTGCCTTTGGCTTGTTTGCTTTCTCTCTGAACTTGTGGAGGCTGGAGGGAAAAGCTGGAATATGTGTTATCTGCCTTAATCCATGAGGAACCTCTTTCCACAGCTCTGTGGATGTCACGCCGTGCTCCGAGTTAGACGTGGCCTCCCCTTGCTCAGAGAAAACTGGAAAATCCCTAAGAAATTTTTCCAGTCCCTTCTTTCGTGTCTCCTTTCCCATCCTTGTTTTGAAAAACTCCTGTTGCCATTTGCAGCACACTGAAGGCTGTATTGGAGTTGTTTTTCCCCTTTTAATATTCTTTAGAGGCTTCTGAAAAATTACAGTTATGGAACAGCTAAAGGCAGAATGAAACTCTCTCTTTTTCTCCTTTTGAATATTTTCACCTTTGGAAAAGGGACGCAGTGGTTAAATTACAGATTTTTCCTTTTTCCTTTTCCTTGTCGTGCTACCCCGGGCCTTTTCCAAAGGTGAAAGGGATTTGAGAATTTCTTGGTCGGCAAAACAGAAAGAAGGAAAGGAAAATGAAAAAGTATGTGTGCAGGCTGAAGGAAAAACCCCAAAATTCCAGTCATCACTCATCCTGCTTCATTTGGTGTGGGAAAGCTGCACAAATAAAAAGAGAATGAAAGGGAGGAGAATCAAAGCCCACTTGTGCCTCTTTCAGTATTTCCAGTGTGTTCTTGATGAAAAACCTCCTGTTTTCCATGAGGATTCCCTGAAAGGGAGAAGGGAGCAGGTCATCTTGTCCCCTTCTGAGAATGTACTCCCAGTTGCACTGAGAGTATCTGAAAATCTCAGCCTGTGTGTGAGGGGAATCCAACAGGAACAACGCATGGGGATGTTAAAAATATCATTTTGAGCGATGAGAAAGTTTGAGAAACACGAATTAATTTTTTGACAGCTGCAGGAGAACAGAGATTTGCAAACACGTTTTGGGGTATTCCTTTGCAACCTCACAGCACAGAGGAGAACCTACCAAAGCTGGATTTATGGCCTAGAGAACTGCCCTGCACTGTGCAGTTTTTAATCACATAAATATTTGTATCAGATCACACTAAATGTTTCTGATTTAGAAACGTAATAATTTGCTTCTTTGTCACGGCTTTTCAGATGGCGAGCTGAACCCCAGCTGGTCAACATTTCTAGTGTCTGGTTACCCAGTGAGGAAATCTCTGGTTTAATGATGCTTTGCATCATGCTTTAGTTATGGGAGCACTTTAATGTTGGTACAGTTTGTCAGGATGTAGAAAGTGGTCTCTGTATATGGAAAGAGATCCAAAATGTGTTTGGCAGGAGAGCAAAACCAAAGGGAGGGGGAAAATCACAGCAAGTGCCAAACTTCGAGAAAATTTTAATCCAAACCTAAAAACAAACTGCACTTTCAAGTTGTTTTTTTTTTCTCCCCATCTTCCAGTCATTTTTATCCATTAGAAAGGAAATGAATTACATCCGTATTTGAAAGGCATGGATTTGTGTGTCTTTTGTCTTCCTACCACACACTGTTTCCAGTCCCCTTAATACTTGACTTCTGATTTTCATGAATAGGAACTCTTTAGGTGGCCTTGCAGGAGCAGTTGCCCTGGAATTAATGCTCCAGGCTTGGATTCAGGAGGCTCATCCCTTCACTGGGACCTCTTGCATGGCAGGAGGAATAAATTCCATCCCGCCTTGCTCAGAACTTATGGGAAAAGCTAATTTTTGATTCCATGAAGTTTTTCTCTACAGTTATTCCTGTAATAAGATGCGTTTTACAAAGGAGAAATACATTAATTGAGATTTTCAGCCCACTCTAAGTTCCTGCAGGCACACCTTTCTCTTACTCCTTGCTCACAGTACAGTGCTTGCCCCTGGGGTCCTGGTGCTAGCTGGGCACTCAGGATAATGAATAACAAATTTAAACAGGAAAGCCAAGATGATTATTTAAAAAGTGACAGTGATTCAGTTTCATCCCCAAACTAGTGAAGACTGGAATTTTGGGAGGAAATACCGTGGAAAGGCCTCCTCTGTGCTGGGTGTTTCTTGTGTTCTTTATAAGAATCAGACACCAGCTTGTGTCAGATCCATGTCATGGGATCAGATGGATATTCTGTGTGACCCTGATGATGGTCTTTATGTGAACCTCCAAATAAATTTGACCTTTGTCTATCCCTGCTAACCTGCTAAGTCACAGATGTAAATACCCAGCCCTGTTCTTTGGGTATAGCTGGGCATGGAATTGCTCGCTGAGCTGCTGTAAAGCCTGGATCCTGCGTGTGAGGGCTCACCCAATGCATAAATGGGCTTTCAGAAGCTGAGCTGTGTTTCTGGTGTCACTGTTGCAGATTGACGTGCTGCCTGAGATCGTGGAGGCCGTGCAGGGGAAGGTGGAGGTGTTCCTGGATGGGGGGGTGAGGAAAGGCACAGATGTCCTCAAAGCTCTGGCTCTGGGTGCCAGAGCCGTGTTCATCGGGAGGCCTCTGCTCTGGGGACTGGCTTATCAAGTAAGTTAGAAAAAGCTGAAGTGCCTATTTTCAGATACCCAAACTCACTGTTTGGGCTTGTTTTGTGCACATCCACGTGTCTGTGTGCAGCAGGAGTGTGTGCGATGGTGTCTCAGTGAGTCTGGGTGCACCCAGATCATCTCACTTAAAATTTGCTATGACAAACACTCAGGACTTCCACCGGGGCATAACCCTTTCTTTGGCACATGTGTGTACATGTCTATAGCTACTCACATAACAGCACACGTTGTCTCCTCGTCTCCCAGGGTGAAGAAGGAGCCAAAGACGTTCTGCAGATGCTGAAGGAGGAGTTTCGCCTGGCAATGGCACTGACAGGTGGGGCATCAGCGTTTCCTCTCCGTAACCACGTTTTCCCCCAGCTTTCCTTTGCCCTGGGCAAGATGCTATAGCAGCTCCCAGGAGGGGCATGTTTGCAGCATGAACAGGGTAGTCTGGGGAGAAATGGGAAAAGGGCTTGTTATCCCTGTCCTACAAAAGGGGAACTGAGTAGATTACGTAAAAACAATACATTTGTTTTTTCTCATGAGGAGAGCAATAAATCCATAGAAAAGTAGTGGTAAATCCTTGGTCACTAAGGGGTGGATTTCCTCTCCCAGAATGTAGATTTTTATGAGACAGAGAAAGAAAGGGCTTAGAGTGGCGTTTCAACTGAAATGTAACCTCTCCTCCAGGATGCCGGAGAGTAGAAGAAATTGGCAGGACACTGATCCGAAGGCATCAAGCGTTTTCCAAGATTTAGGTCTGAAGATTTTGCCTTGTGTGTTGCCTGTTGTGCTTCCAGACAAAACCCACGTGTGTTTGCTCTGTGGGCCTCATCCTGCCATCCTGACTGAGAAGGCACAGCCCCTTAGGGCATCACTTGCTGAAGAAAATACTCAAAGCAAATTTTACAGGTGTTTCCAAATGTTTTAGGTTCTTAAGGAAAGCTGCTGTACTGGGAGGTGTGATTAGAGATGGGATTTGAGACAAGACTGGCACAGGAACCTTCAAGGTGTTTTGCAACAAATGCTGGTATTAATTTCCATGCCTGGGAGTAACTCAGCTGTTAAAATGAAACTGTAAACAGGAATGTTTTGATAGCAAACAGAAATGCTGAGATTTAAAATGCAAAAGATACTTCTTGCTCGCTGTTTAGAGAAACTAGACTGGAGATTGCAGAGATTAAATCTTGCTTTCTTGTGAACAGTGTCATTTCCCTGCTGGCTCTGTGCTAGGACTGTGCAAGCACGTAGGCTGTGGGAGCTCAGAGGACTCTTAGCTGTAAAGAACCAAAGAACAAAGCCAACCTGGGGAAACTCTGCTGTTGAGTGGAACAAACCCCTTTGCTCTCAGACAGCTGTTCTGTATGTGCATTGGATATAGGTCAGATCCTTGGATGATGCAAATCCCTGTAGCCCAAACTGTGCCAGCTGCACCCAGCTGTAGCTCCAGAGTCCCATTTTTCACCTGGATTCATTTGCTGACACTGGCAAGGGAAGGCTGATGCTGCCTGGGAGAGTGTGTAGGATTTGCTGCCATGTGCAAGAGAGCCACTTGAATAACTGAGGCATCAACCCATGGCTTGGGAAGATCCTTGTGGCTCTATTCAGTGTCCACGAACACCCTCTGCAGTCAGGAGAAATGTTGCAATTATAAAAAAACCAAGTAGGTAAGGCTGTTATTCTCATCTTGGGTAAACCTGTGTTGCAGGTATGGAAGTGTTGCTGGGAGCAGGGAGAGGCCACTGCACAAAGGCTTTGAATATCTCGTTGTGGAAATTTAATATTCCTTTTTAAGGAAGATTAAAAAGAGAGAAAAAGGGCTTGATTTCATGGTTTCACTGACGTCACAGGCCCCACCATTTGTTCCCCATCAGCCCCAGAAGGACTCAAGCGTTCTGACTCTCCTGCTTGAAATATCCCTCACTGAGCTTTGGAGGCAGCTCCGTAAGAGAATGATGGAATATTCTAACGTGAACTAAAGCTGGGGCTGGAGCTCCAAATGGGGAGAAAACCCAAAAGGCCACATGCTTTGCCCTGCAGTTGTAAAATCTGTGCTCTTATTTACCGCAGAATGGGGTGTGTTGTGTGAGGGTTGCGTAGCAACAAAATAAAGTTTATCTGTGCGAGGAAATACGAATGTTTCTCAGAGCACAGGGAAGCATAATTTCTGCTGTTTACTGCACTTACCATTTCTGTTGCAATGTGGACTGTGTCAGATGTCAATTATGGACTAACTTGGGAAAGACTGTTTATTTGAGATAATATAAATGTTACTTAAAAGATAGGGGGCATAATATCTTATGTTTACACGGTTAAGATCTATTTCTAAAGTTTAGAAGATGCAGTTTCCTGTCTTTGCCCCCAACCAGATTCAAGGAAAGTTCTGAAACTCTGTGGTTCAGTAGAAGTTCTGATGGTGAGGAAACTGGGTTTGTCACTTGTGTGTAATTAACTATTTCTAGTTCCTCTGGTACAGTGGGTTTACATTATTTTTTCCTGCTTGTTATCTGAGAATTGCCTGACTGCCTTCCAGTTCAACCCTAGTAAGACTAGAGATGCATTAAAACCCAAAACTAGAGCCAAATACTGAAAGGCTGTGAGACAGTGTTAACAGAAATGAAATTATTTTGACTGGTTGAATTCTTTTTTAAAAATATTCCACAGAGAAGAGAATTCCTCTTGATTTTGGGACAACCAAACACAACTGCTTGTGGAAAATATTAAAAAAGAAAAGGTAGGAATTCCATTTGGTTTTGGGTTAGAAAGGAGAAAGATTGAGTGCCCTTGACCATTTTAAAAGCTAAATATTGTCCAGGCTTAAGAAAAAATTTACCCCTCAGTTGTTTCACCTGGTGAAGCTGAGAAAAAAACCTGAGCACACAGAGCAGGTGGTGGTGGTGAATCTTCCTACAGTAATATAAGAGAAGAAAATAATAGAGATGTCCAGTAGAAAATTATTTGCCTTAAAGTATCAAGGTAATCCTTTTTGGAAGCATCCCCACAAAGTTGTCTCCTTGACCTCAGTGAGCCCGTAGAGCTTGGCATTCTCCTCAGGATGTGCAGAAACCACTCAGAGATTTGGAGAGCCTTCAGCCCTGGTTTGGGGGCTCAACAACTGCACTCCAGACATCCTTTTTTTAACAAGAAGTTGTAAAGAAATCAGCCTGTTTCAAAGTGCCAGGGTCAGTGAAAGAGCCCGTGATGCTGCCTGGACATCTGGTGGATCCCATCAAGGCTGGACATGCAGAGAGCAGGGGCCTCCTAAGAAAAAAACAGTGAACTTGTGCCAAAGCACCTCGAGCTGCAGCACGTGGGTGGTTTGTGCCCAGAGAGCAGGTTTGGCTGTGAGGGGAATGTGTTTGCCGTGGGATCCCATTTGACTGAGTAGAGGAGAGCACAAAGGTGCGGGAGTGCAGGCATGGCTGAGCAGAAGATGGCAGAAGTCAGCCAAGAGCTGTGAGAACACTGACCTTTCAGACAGAAAGCTTCAGGACAGATTTTAGTCTCTCACTTGCCTGTCAGCCCTTTGAAGCAGTGACCTGCTGCTTTTTGAATGCTTGGAGCCTGCACACAGGGTGGAGAATCCAGTAAGTAAATAATAGGAGTCATAATTCAGTGCACTGGGGCTGAGGAGCTGTGAAAGACACGATCTGTTTTCTTGTGACCTCCACCTCTCGCTGTGACTCCGGGACACATTATTGTGTTTTATTTTTACCAGTGGCCAAGTCAAACAAACAGCTCTGGAACTGGTAAGAACTCCACCTCCATCCCCAATTTTTCAGGTTAAGCATGAAACTTGTCTGTCTTACTGGGAATTTCTGAAGGTAAATAAACAGACACTTAGAGTAACTGGCTTTGATAAATGGGCAGTGTAGGTCGAGGCCTGTTGGATATGCAGGAGACTCAAAGATGAAGCAGAGCTGGGGAAGTAGGCAGGAATGGCTCTGCTTTTCTTGGCTTCTCAAATGGTTTTCAGGCTGAAATCAAATACTTGAGAGCACGAGGAAAGCTGGCTTCTGAAGTCATGATTTTGCACTGAACCTCACTGTAAGGATATCTCTTATAAAGCTACTTTTGATGTGGAAATTTGGCTCCAAACCACACTGAAGACCATTATAAATAACCACTTCATCCCAGGACACACAGAAGTTGGCTTCCTTGAACACTCCTAGAAAGCAAGCCTATCCTTACTGAGCCATAACCTCAGCTAGTGTAAATCAGAGAAGCTCCATTGACTTCATTAGTTTATACTGATTTACACCAGCTGTGGCTGTGGCCCACAATACAGCAAGATATGTCAGCTTTTAAACTCTGTCACTGGGCGTTGAACAAAACTGGTTTTAAAACAAGACTGGCAAGCCCCGATTTAGACCCTAATGAGAGGCAGCGCTGTAATCGTTTCATGATGCCCTATATGCTCCAGTTTGTTTTCATTTTTGCCTTGCTTCTGTTTTTCTTATCTCCTGCCAAACAGAGGGAGAGTACCACATATGTTACACTCATAACAAAGATGTTTTGCTGCTCTGAGAACATGTCCTCCAGATGCAAAGTGCCTTTGTGCTGGAGTTCAGCTTCCTCCTTTGCATAGATACGTTGTGCCAACATAAAAAAAGCCCTGGAGGGCCAGCCCTGTGTTTCTCCAGGGCCTGGAGCTCTGGAAGGGGCACCCACAGGCTGTGCCAGCTGAACCTGCAAGATATGGTTCCTCCTTAGGGATTTGCAGCTCCTAAGTCACTGTTTCAGATGGGCAGGATGAACCGTGTGTCAGGAATGCCCTGAGACCCTCAATCCATCTCCCGTGTCACAATCCTGCAGCATGCTCAGGGAATTAACCCCACCGAGCAATCAGCTGCACTGGAGGCACCTTCATGGTGTGGAAGGCTGGTAGATGCACACAGCTGGTTCATTCAGCCAAGGGGGAGACATTCCTATAAGCAGCCTGACAGTGATTAATGCTGGTTATTGTTTTATGGCAGCAGCAGCTGTAAGTGCCAGCCAAGGTCAAGGCAGCCTGTGCTCTGCAGAGATGGTTTTCTGCAGGCAGCAGCCTCTGCTCAACACTCAGAGGGGTCAACTGACAGGCACAAGAGAAGAGAAAGTCTCTCCAAAATGGGGGTAGAAACAAACTGATTCTCTCAGCTAAGTCACTTAACTTTCCATTTCACTCCCTTAATTTGCTGTCCTCCCTAAGGTATGGACAACACGTACCACAAATACTCAGTAACCGGGGGGAAGGTCCACAGGTGAACTACAGGGCAGAGGCAGAGCTGGGCCACAGCAGAGCCTTTAACCTGGGTGTCTTTCCTTGCAGAAGGTGAAGCTCCTTGTACAAGTGACACTTATATAGTCACACTACACCTTATGCTCCGCCAGTTTGCCAAGCAAAATTTGTTTGTGGTGGCTTTGCAGTATGGGAATGGAAGACCCCCCTTATTTCTTGCTGGTTTTCTAAAATTCAGTAGCATAACATGATTTTAGTTCCCTTCCCCCCAAGTCCCTTTAGTAGTATACTATGTTTAATTAGGTTTTCCTTTCAGGAGAACTGAAAGTAGTGGATTTAAAACCTTCTGTTGTCATTGAAAGGGTTCCTGCAGAGCAAGTGTTCACCACTGGGTTTATTTCAAGTGAGCTTTGCTTAATTTTCAAGAACAGTCACAAAGACTTCAAAGGAAGGTGTGAAGATCCTGCAATAAGGTAACATAAATATGTATAAATTGAGTCATTACACTTTTTCAGGATGTGTATTTTACAGATTTCTACTTGGTATGGTCAGCAAGTAAGTTCAGCATCTATTGTTACCCAGAAGCAGGTAACAGGACCTAGAAATCTTGCCTGGATAGGTGAGAGAAACAATTTCCTTAACAGGTAAGACCTGAATGCTCATTAGAGGTGGGAATTCAAACAGCAGGGTCATCTCTCACACCTAAGCTTCCTCTGGACCTGCTCACATCCTCTCTCAAAGGTAGAGGCTGGAGAGTGTAGGAAGGGTATTTGTTATAATTTTAATACAAATTATTACTGCCTTTGGAGTTTGTTACACATCTGCAGCCTTCCCATCAGGTAGTTAAGAGCAGCAAAAATGACTGAATTTGGTATAAACAAATGCCTCTTGTCAAGGTTATGTCTCTACCCAGGAAGCTGGAAAAACCAAAGAAGCACCTTCATCCAAGGAACTCCAGTGAAGAGCTCTCTGAAAGAGTTT